GATCACTTGCCTCTACTGGTCCTTTGTCACATACGGATGGCTTGTTATTTGATTGGCTTGTGACTCTCCTGTGCATGAAGAATTCCCGTACACGCTTTGACTGACTGAGTGTCTCTAGTAAATTAGTGAAGAGAGTTTCCTCAGTGAAATCTGTGTTTGTGTGTACTTCTTCTTGCATGTCTGCTAAACTGTATGATATAAGGTCCCTTACACAGAATAATACTTCCCTGTAGAATAAAAGTGTACTCTCTGTCCGAGTGTGCGTCTTATTAGGAGCCAGTACGGCTGTAAGAAGACTCCTGTAAAACTTGCTGTAAACTTGCTCTAATGTACACCTGTACGCCATCCAATAATTAATGCACACAGTGGGCTCTAAACCCTCTGCAATCAAATACTCAACTACTTCATCAGGTAAATCCTCTGATGTGGCTGTGCTTGAATCAGCACTAACCACATGGAATAGTTCTTCTGCTGCTATTAAATCACTGGGGATAGTGTACTTACGCTGCTTTAAATAGAATAGCATAAGAACAGGTAAATAAGAAGAATCCCTCATTGGACTGGAATGTATAACTATCCTGTATAATTGCTCAATAAACTCCTCTACACATGAAATAATCGTATGATTAGTCTTATGTACACTGGATGGTATAATTGATCTTATAGAAGAAGTCTCTTTATAAAGACCTTCTGATATACTCAGTGAAGTATTAATTGGATCTGTGGAGTCTGTGCAAAATGTACACTCGTCCTGTAATGAATGTAATTTAGGGTTATCACCCGCCTGGATTATTTCACTTATACAGGATGATTTACTGCTGTTCATGGATACTCCTGCTGGAATACTTTCTGATACATTTAAATCTCCTGGTGCATGATCCTCACTGGAGCACTTTTTAGAACCTTCTGTGCTGCACTCAGTGGTTGAATTATCCTTCTCCTGATTATGTACAATGGATTCTTCTATATGTGAATTAATAAGTACATTTGTTACTGGACTCGCAGGAATCATGCGTACCCTGATGATACTCTCCTCATCAGAATCAGAACTCACAGGGGTGCTCATCCTGCACATAAGAATATCCGCTGTGTTTGATAGGGATGCAGATACTTTACTACCAACCTTCCTAATAACCCTTGCAAGCCTTTTTAAGCTAAATCGAGACCTTCTCTCCCTTCTCTCAGAGTTTCTAAGTATTGCTTCTGGAGTCATTTATTTTGTTTACTTCATAAATTCTATTTATACTTTATATTAATTCTAGAGCAGTCCTTTTTAAGTACACCATAAATATAATTTACCTTATTAATATTACTAATCCCATGAAAATTCAGATTATACACTGATATGCTTACGTATACATACCATATTGGTATAATAATGTATAACCCGAATTGACCCTATAAATATAATTTATAATATAAATTTTATTCTAGAATAAATTTATTATTCTGAATTTAATATACATTAATTATAATAATATATTACAGTACACAGAAGATGCACACATAAGTACGTACATGTGAGGATGCCTTTCTTTTTCTTATTAAACATAAAAATAGGTAATAATCTGAATAATCTGTCTAAAACAATAAAAGTAAATGATGTAACGATTGAAAAAACCGTTAAATATTTTATAATTACACTCTTAATAATAATCTGATACTTCCATTGAATAACAGAAATTATTATGGTTGTAATAATTATAATTATATCTGTAAAGTATCTTATAACCCATTTTGTACTCTTCCTGTAGGTATAATCAATGATTACATTCATTCTAATGAAATATCCTGTACATATAATGCTTGCTGTATATAAAAATACCATAAATATGAGTATGTATAAATTAGTTATTATGCTGAACTTGTTATGTGTTTGTAGGGAATTTATAAATACGAATAGTTTTTGTAGAATATTTGTGATAAATATGTGGATTAGTAAACACCCAAATAATTTATGAGTACACGGAAGTATAATGTACCTGATTCTTGAATAATTTGTGTTTAGAAAGGATTTTATGCGAGTATTCTTGATTAGTAGCGTATTCTTGCAAATTGTTGAGAAGTTCTTGTTACTGAATTGGTTTACATGCATATCTATAACTAGCAAGAGATAGTGCATCCTATAAGTAGATTTGATATTGCCACTCTTATCAAATAACTCATAGAAAAGAAGTAGTAAATCGTACGTGCCATACCCGTATACGCCATAAGAAATATATGCTAATTCACCATAGTATGTTATAAACCCTTTAAGCAACTTTATGTCGCTAACTTTAACTTCTGTGGAATTATTTATACAGTGGGATACTCTGCTGTTCAGATTAATTATTTCTGTGTACATGTCTGAATTTTTTAGAATATTAAGCATCTCGGATTTTTCTGTGTGAGTCTTAGAGTATAAATCAGTGCACTTCTCAACAGAATGCACAAGATTCATGAGAATGGATAAGAAATACTTGTACTCCCTGTGAAACCGCCAAAGACTTTCTAATATATGGGAATAATTGAAGAGCCTTCTGTTTTTATGGATTATTTCTAAGTTATACGCATTTTTGTAGAGATTAAATCTGTTAATTAAACTATTCCTTGAGGATTCAAGTAATTTCAGTGCATTAATCCCGGATGGGGCTGTTTTTGAAATGTGCTCTAAAAGTATTATTATCTTTAAACGAGGACTTTTTACTTCGTGCTCTATAATTAGCTCAACTATCCTTTGAATCTCTTCAGAAACAGCCCCTGCTAGATGCACAGTTCTTTCTAAATTTAATTTCTGTACAAATTCTGTGTATGCCTCTATCATTCTGCTTGATACTGTGGACTCATTAGAATGCGTGGTAATTGTTCTTTGAATGTCCTTTTCTATAGTAATGCATGCTTTTTTATTAACTTTTGGTGGGGGATTAATATCTAGCGTAAGGAAGTGTGGGTTCATCTGTGCGTGTATCTGTGTAAACCGTGTTTTTATTTTAAATTTCTTAGGAATAAGTTTAATTAAACCAAGCAGTTTTTATTAATTTTCTATCAAAAATGTCTATTAAACAATAAAATACAGCCCAAATAAACAATAACATAAACATAACAGAAACCATACTTAAATGAATTATGAAATATTCAGAAATATGTATACAAAATAAAATACTAAATAATAGTATAATACAGAAAATTTGGGTATAATAGATAGAATAACCAGGAATAGTTTAAATATGGCTAGATATGTAGGTTTCTATTGTATAATTTATTCTTATTGGGAATAATTAGAATTTTAGTCAATTCTTGTAGAGTGCTTTATAGACTTATCTTATAGCAGAAGCAGTCCGATTAACACATAACATACCCAAAAACAAAATAAGGAAAGCCAAGCACTGTGCAGAGAATGGAATATTTAGAGTACCCCAAAATTCTGAAATTAGTCAGAATGTTTAATTTACAGCTGAAATTATTATGGGGCTGGTATAAGCTGAAATTTCTACGATTATTGCATTAATGCATTGTTTATACTGGTTTATTATGAATTGAATTTTTTGTATAAAAATCCAATTAAGTGCTTGTTCTCCTCTTGGTATTTATTTTTCATTTTAAATATTCTTTCCTGTGGTACTGTGCTGATTTCTTTTGTGTCCACATTGTATAATTCCCACGCATGGGGATTCTCTGGAGATGGTTTAATAATCCAATACTTATGCGGGAGTAATTGCATCTTTGATGGGTCTATGCCCCTGGCCCATAGCTCGCTTGCGCCAGGAATGGCTATTGGACAATTATTTTCATTTGCTAGATTTATTATGCTAGAAGACTTTAGCATAGAACGGGGTATAGGTACTTTAGAAATTGAATCTGGCGAAGCAACTGCTACTATTTTCCCTTTTATAGAATCTTCTGGATTTATCTCTAAATATGTGTTTTTGTAGTCACTTGGATTGTACATAGTTAAAAGATTCTTCGTTTCTGGATCTATTTCATTTAATAAATCTTCATTCTCTTCTGTTTTAGCTTTTTTGTTTTTTGGTACTGGAGTAGTGGGTGATACCATTGAATCTTCTGGCAGTAAATCTATTAGGGAGGGAAGGTCTGCGCGAAGAATTGTGTACTTCTTTTTGAATGGAGCAGTTTTCCAATTGACATGTTTTACAACTCGCCTAAAAAATAGATTGGCTGGTGTGCGCCTTACTATATGCATGCCTTTCTCGTTGCACGGTGTAAAGTTCTGTTTGTAAACTGCATTCTTCAAAACCTCGCTTAATGCAGATTTTGGGTTGTTGCTAATTTCTACTGTAAGCCACGACTTCTGCTTCTTTGGAGCGTGCGTTGTCTCAGAAGCAAAATGTTCTGGATACTTCTTAGGATCAACTACTTGTGTCTTGTATGTGTTTTGTAAAAAATCAATTACCTCTTTGCAGCTAAGCTCCTCTCCATGTAACTTTGTTAGTATAGGCACTCCATACGTATGAACTAATGTGGAAATATAGTTGTGGATTATATCTGTGTCAAAATATGGCATCTCCTTGTAAAAAGTGAACTTGGAATATATGTCCATTACAAACAAGATATACCCACCCTTTTCTGAGACCAGGTCTTTCCATGGGATTAAAAACATAAATATAGCAAACCATGGCTCTTGAATAACCTTTACCCGATAGTCGCGCGTTTGGATTGGTTTTGCCCAGGGAATTATATTTCTACACTGTGGACACATATAAATCCATGGGTGTATATTGTTTATATTCAGCCCATAATACTCTCTTGATATTAGGTCATAAACTTTCTTTACTGGATTATGTTCATCCCCATGAAAGTGCCAGAATAACTCTCTAATACGGTCAACATCCTTATAAGAAACAACAACCAGCGGATCTCCTTCGGCATTGTTAACAAATAGAGTGTCTTTGACCGTGTATAAAACTTTCCCATATCTTTTAATCTTCTCTCTTATTGAGTAGTCGCCACCGCTAAGAAACTCTCCATCTGTTTGGTGGTAGTATTTTATTCCTTCAATTAATTCTTTTGTGAATTTATTTCTTATGTCTTCTTTTACTTGCTGTAAACTTATCTCATTTTCTTCTAAATCGTCTTCCTGGGCTTTACTTTTATGTGTATCTTTTAATGCACTGTATGAGGGATTCATTCTCTGTAAATTTTTTCATTATGGATAAAACTACGTATGCTAAGCTGAGTGCGGGAAATCCAAATACCCGGCACAGTAACATATACATCCACACAATTCTAACAACGATTAAGAAATACAATAGAGAAGTATCCTTTAAGGAAATTGAAGCAGAGACTGGTATAGACATAGAGCGCACGCCTGGCCTGCTAGACCTTCTGAGTAAAAACCAAAGGATTATCACAGAGGGGAAAACTCTCCGGTTCATACCTCTGCACAAAATAGAGAGTGAAGAGGAGCTATTAGAAATACTCAAAAAAACCAATTCTGAGCACGGCATCCCCATTCAAGAATTGCTTGACAGAAGTAATGACATAGCCCCTTTTATAGATGGCCTGGTCCAGAAGAACCAAGCAATTGTTCTGAAAGATATTGATGGTTCATCAACTATCTTCTATAACTCACTGAATATTAAGAATGTAGACCCAGAAATCATAAAGTTATATGAAGAAGTCACCATTCCAGAACCACAAGAACTGGCCAAAAGGCTAACAACCGCAGGATTATCTATGAACAGTGCACAGGAAAAACCTGTAAGAAAGGCCATGCCAATTCAAAAGAAAAAGAAATATCATAGAAAAATAAAGATAACAAATACACATCTAAATAACAAAGAATTGGATATTTAGCAAAGGACACACCTTCTAACTAGACTATAATCCAAAAATAGAAAATAATTTTGTGCGAAATTCAGATTGTTCTGAATTATTGCTTCTTCACAATTAGAAATACCTAGAAAAGAAAAATAAAACAATTTTGTATGCACTTTCTATGATTTTCCACTAAAGCCAAAATATGCAGTATTCTTCCGTAATAGAGTGTAAATCCAACAAAAAATAATAATTGCCATTTGTAAATTTCTATAGAAAATTTATTGTGAACTATGCATGATTTATTAAAATAAAATATTATTTATGCCTTACATTTATTATTATTCTTAAAATGCCTTAATTACAGAGTGAGCATTCACTATTTTATGAATGAATTCTTTTAGTCGTAAATTCCTATACGGATTGTGGCAAACCATTACTCAATTGACGACTTAATATAATTCCAGAAATTTTAAAAGTAGAAATCTAATTTTTTTAATTTAATGATCCTGATACAAACAACAACGAAAGAACTTAAGACAAGACCAAGACATTATACCGCACCCAGTTTTGCATTCAATAAAGGAACAATCGGATATACTGATACACTTTCTCTAGTTGACTATTACCTCACCCACAGCCGGCTTTCGCGGCGTGCGCACGTCACGGACCAAAAATACTTCATACTTTTTTATTAGATAACTAAGTTTTTTGGCGTATTCAAGGTCTTTTTTAATCAAGTTAAGCACGTGGTTCTTTACTGTTTGAGGAAACTTTGATTTTTCAAACTTTGATATCGTATTTTTAATATTTTCATCTGTATATTCATATTTAGTTTCATTAATTGTGATAAAATCTTCATCAATCACAATTTTATCAAAGAGTATTGTTGTAATCTTGTTAAAAACATCTGATCTAAAAGACATGTTAAGCCAAACCAACCATATATCATTGGCTTTTATGACGGTTTCATATTCTGGAAGATCTCTGTCTATGCTATTTAAAAATGCTTCAATTTCTAATAATGGTTTTATAGATGTAATTCCATGTGTTAATAGAGAAAGAAACTGAGTATTAGAACCACTGTCAATTTGGCATACTATAGCTGCAAAAAAGTTCCCTCTATCACTTTTTGTTAGTAAGTGAGCCTTTAAAAACTCTAAATGCCTATTGAAAAAATTGTTGTTATATATATATTGCTCATAATACACACCTGCTGAGTATGAAAGGATATTTCTATCAACTATCGTTATGGGTATATTAACTTTTGTACAGAAACCTTTGTAGAATCCTGCTCTATATAATGGATTGAAAAAAACGTCACGCACTGTATTTAAGTCTTCTAATGGAAGACTTCCTATTATATTAGACAGAAGTCGTGACCATGGATCGGTTTCTTCTAATGAATGCTCTAATAAGCACTCTCTAATATATCGTATTATGTATATTTTATATTCAGCGCTTTTAAATGTGTTATACAGAAAAAACTTTTCTATTGGGTAGAAATAGTTGTTTTCTCGTGATATCTTTATATTTTCTTTATAATAATTACTTATAAATCTGTTACCCTCCATTAATTTGTCTACAAAGTGCATAAGTAGGAAATCTGTTAGAGTTTTTTCCGACTCATTCTCAATACTGTTCTTATTATTAATTATTTCCTTCTTTTTTTCATTTGTTAAAGTATTAATTCTACTGGGGAAGGATGTGGCCTGTAAATGCTCAATAGTATGGATCAATTTTATTCCTCCTTCTAAATTTAAATAACTATATGTTATAACTACTTCTCCAAATAATTCCGTTTGCCCATTAAGATTTGGGCATTTTGACATATTTAAAATATCTATCTTTATTTCTCTGCTTGGCAATTCTGAGTCTTCTTCTGCAGTATATTTCTTAGAGAGTGATAAAATCAATTCTTCTGTGTATAACTCTACTTTTGTGAATAATTCACTCTGATTAACATTATCTTCCCTTTCTAGAAGAGTATTAAGCTCTTTAAATGATTCTTCTTCATCAGAATACCTCCCAGTTATTTCAGCAATGACATATAGCATATTTATTATACCAGGTGCAAGCTCATTTCTATTTTCTTTTAGATATCTAATATTCTCATTCTCTAGATCAGCCACTACTTTACTCCACTCCATATGCATCTCGTATGTATCAGTCTCCAGTTGTTTATTGTACGTATCAAAGAACCTTTTCAAGTCCGGTGATACTTCTCCCATGTGGTCTATATTATACTCTTTACTCTTTGAATCATATGCTAAACAGCAAAACAAGCTAAGCAATCCAGCCTCAACACAGTCGCTGTACTTTTTGCCAACATTAAAGGAATCTTCTTTTCTATTATATGATGAGATACTTCTATATTTTGATATATCTATGTCGCCAGAAAATGGAAATACATTTACTAGAGGGGACTCTTTATATATTGTAGTCAATATGTCTATTCTATGCTTTGCTTTAATTGTATTAGCACCACTAGATTTAACAAAACACTTGTCAACAATGCTTTTCAGATATTCCACGTCTTCATTTGATCCTTCCTTCTCTTTTTGTTCTATACACTCTTTAAGCATAGAATATACCTCTTTTGCCAACTCAATTATTTTTTCTTCACTATCCAAGTACTCGAATATATAATACTGTATTAGCCACCGTGCATTGTTTAAAAACTTGCCGGTTTTAAACTCTTCATATGTTCTTGGCTCTGCATATTTACCCCCTTCCCGTATATCTAGATTCGTTTTATTGCCTATAAAGAAATTTATAACATTGGCTGCTCTTGTTTGTGGTACTGCTTTTTTCTTTTCTTTGCTATTTTCATTCTTTCTACTATCCGGGCGGTATTTCATACTTAGAGAGAATATATTTTTTTTCTCTCCACTCTCTTCATTTTCTTTCTTACTTTCTGTTTTGCTCTCTTTTAATTTTCTCTTTTTATTTTTCTTCTTTATTTCCGGCTTACTCTCTTTCAAGTCTTCTGTTTTATTTTCTTCCTCAGATTTTACTATGATCTCTTTCAAGACTAGCATTGGGCTAGTTTTACTGCCTTCTAGTTTCAGTGGTATATCCACTCCCTCTGCCAATAAAAATAAACAAGCTAAAATATGAATTTTATGCTTACTTACATGCTCAAGATGAAGAAATTTAATAAACGAATCATTTCTAGAAGTATATATTGATAAAAACCCAGTAGAAGAAGGAAACATCTCTATCAGTGTTTGGTGGTAGTCTTCAAAATACGTTGTCTTTTTCTTTTTTTCTTCATTTTTTTTTTCAGTTGGAATCTCTGCTGTTTCTTCATTCTTTTGCTCAGTGAGATGTATCTCTGTTGCCTTTTCTTTCTTCTCTTCAGTAGAAGGTTTTATATATGCTACATCCTTATTATAGTCTCTTGTTGACTCTATTTTTAAATTCCTTTCATTCTCTTCATCATCTATAACAATTAGACTGTAATGTGCATCTGTTCCCGGTGATAAAAACCGCATTGAATACATTAAATTCAACTTCTCACAAATAAATTCCTGTATAGGAGATAGTGACCCATTGGATTTTATGTACATTCCATCTTTTATCTCAGTCCCATGGGTTTTCTCATATGTACTTAACCCTACTTTACAGCATATCCTATATAAAGTAACTATTCCAATAATTATAATAAGCTCTTTCCTTATAAGCATATCTCTATTATTAAAAGTAGAAAATATTTAAATATTCTTAAAATAAATCTGTAAATAAAAATAATTTCTTGATAATGAAGAAGTTTACTTTTTTATAAAAATATATTATTTATTGGTTATTCATAGACTAATAAATGTCAATAAATATATTTATAGTAACATTGCTATCCAATTAGACAATATAACAGACAAATGACAGTTAGTACATTGGCAGGATCATAAACAACAAATGGAATTATTGCATATTTGGGTACTTAATAAATGTCTGGATTTAGTTATAATAGACAATGATTATATTTATAAAGAGGGCAGTGTATATAATTGGATTTGTATGATTATTCTGTGCTGTCTGTTGTAGTATAGACTAATATTTTATTTTGATGTATTTCTGTATTTTATGATGGTATAAGACTGGGCTTCTTATATGAAAATGTTTTATTAATTTTTATATGGACACAGTCGTAGTTGTGTTTGAAAGACCTTCTTCAGTATCGTTAAAAAGTCTGTCTGAGCAAGCTAGAACACTCTTATTTCCCCTCCGGATATTTCCTGTGCAGATGGAAAATGGAAGAATTATAAAGAGATGGGCACTTACCAAATCAGATAAAGAGTATGCATTCGTTGAAAAGGAAGAAAGATGCGAAGTATTAAAGAGTTTTGTTGAACAGCTCAGAACAAGTGCGTGTATAGTTCTGGTGGATATGCAAAGTGACCTGCAGAAGAAGTGGTATTTCTGTATTAATACACAGGAGAGTGCTCTGGCAGTGTATATGAATAGTATAGAGCTGGACAGGTATAAAGTAGAGAATACTATTTCTGGTGTTATAGAGGCATCTAATATATTTTTTAAAAGAATTACTATTTCGCTTATAGGAATACGTATACGAAATAAAAGTGGAAAAAAAGAAAGCATTGATATTCCAATAGGTGTGGATAAGATTGAATATCCAATACCAACAGAAATGACAATGATACAGCACCAGCCCACAGGAATTCTTATACACTCCCGGCCTGCTGCATTAGGAAGTGGACTCCTTATGAAGATTCTTTCAAAGAATGAACTATTCTTCTCTGCGTATAAACCAGGAGTATTCCTTAAACTGCATTTAGTACAAGACAGGCCAGTTGCAGATGTTTTTAGACTACCTGAAGCAATTACACTCTTAGACTCATCCTTGCCTTTTATGAAGAAGTACCACCTGCAGGAATATTTACAGTATGTAATAAAGAAGTACGGAGAAGATATCCGTGCGCTTTCAACTATTTTCTCGGAAAAGCCAGAAAAAAGAGATTTAGAGTCTGCGCTAAGTGAAGAAATAAAAAGAATCCGCGTTATACAGCTTGACAGAAGAAATAGACTTCTGCAGGGAGTGAATGACCTTCTAAGCACACTATGTTTTAAAGAAAGCGATCCAAGGCATATTATTCTTGCAACTCTAAGTGTTGTATATAACGAAATAGTTAAAAGACAGAAAATAGAAGGCGTAGATGGTCCCATGTACATTCACTTACCACCAAGTAAAATAGCACCGCCTTCTTCCCTGCACAGCCTTTTAAAAGAAATAGAAATGTAATTTATTCTATTCTGTTTAATAATATTAATATTTGGAATTCATGCAATAAAATTATCTGTTAATTTCATAGAATTCCGTTATATTTAATCCAGTAATATTCTCGTCAATTATAGAATATTCTCAATAAATATAAAATCTAAAGAGTAAATTTATTTATATTCCTCTGGTAATAAAATATTCTGAAATAAAACAAGAAATAAAAAGAATTCTGAAATTTTTAGAATCTTATTAACTAAGAGAGAAAAGCACTTATATGATTTTATAGTAAAGAAAAAACACATTATAAATACTTGAATATAAATAGAAATCATGTATAAAACAGTGACAAATAGGCAACTTACAGCATATACTTGTTTTTTGGGCAGGATAAGGATATTTATATGAATACTTCCAGATATTTGATAATGCCAGGAGATATTTAATATATACATAAAATATTAGTTATTGTACGTGTATTGGGTGTAAAACACAGAAATATCCCTAAAAGGAAATGTTAGTATGCTTTTATATCTGTGGGTAGTAGGTAGTATATTTTAGTAAATAAAATTGTAAATGTTTTTACTGGAATGGCTTCAATAACAGCAGGGCTCCAAAAGATAATGGCAAGACAGAAAAAGAAAATGGAATTGGCAGATAAAAGAATGGAGGAGAGACACATCAAAATAAAAGAAGCAATTATATCAAATGACATTGCAAATAGAAATTCAAGAGAAGATGAAGATACAAAGAAAGTCAGAAGAAGGCACCACTCAGAGAAGCCCTTCCGAGGATGTACAGAGGAAGAAGCAGAGCATGATTTAGCAGAGATATTCGGTGTAAAATCGGACAAGTACATGCACATCCTGCCAGATGGAAAAACCATGGTTGTCATTAAGAAACAAGTCATTACAGAGGGAGACATGGTAAGGATAGAAAAAGGGGATTTATTTGAAGTTGGTGTAGTAAAGCACCTTCATAAAGGAGCACTTATTTTGGCGAGTAAAGACAGAGAAAAGAAATATCCATTGAACAAACTCCTTTCATCAAGATATTCTATACAGCCGTACATAAATAGAAGAAAGGATTCTATATATAACTCACCCGCATAATCAATCTATCAACAGAAAGTACCCCAATTAAATCTATGATAGGAAATAATAAATGCCTGTATTTTGCTTCTACCCAGAATCTATGTGAAGTACAAATACTGTTAAAACAACTGAAATTCAATTTCTAATTATTTCTAATAATTTAATAATGTAAATATGGCACTTCTTTACATTTAATTATGTGTTAATAAATGCCAAAAACCCTTTCTATATACCATATGGAAGATTACACAAAACAAATAATTTACTATGCCAAAATATAATGGATTATTTAGTATATTATGCAATAGTATACTAGTTAAATATATGCGTAATAGAGAATGTAACCCAAAACATCCTGAACTTCTTATCTGATTAGCAGACTATTCTGGATTTAATTTTTAGATGTATATTCTACAGTGAGCAATTCTCACATTATACTGTGTATAGACTAGTAATACGTCTAGAGCTAATTAGACAGTAAATATTATATATTTATGCATGACGTACTCACGAGGAGTCACACTACCGCCGCCCTGCTACGTAGTCAAGAGAGAAAAGAGGGCAAAAGGGGCGAGCTCTTTATTGTATTTAAGAAGCGGTCTAAGCCTGCGCGGACACGGAGTTAAAGGGCGCAGTTGTGTTAGGACTGGCGATGAAATTAAACCGCTGATGCTCCTCTGGGTCTCCTTCTTAAATTATGAGAAGAACTCCGATTAAATAGTCGGAAGTTGATATACGGATTCAGAGATCCCGGCCGTTTGCCTTGGTGAGATCACCGCGCGCGATGGCTCGCAGACAGATCACACTCAGGGGCTCACATCTGAGTCGTGATGTCACCACAATGCATACTGATGGATGGTCTTGTATGATAATAGAATGCAATTTTCAAATTTTTAAAAAAATATTAAAATTTGCATGGGCAATAATTTTTAATTTAAAAAACTACAACTTAATTTAGAAAAATTAAAAATGATTTTAATTTAAAATATAAATATAAATAGAATAAGAATAAGAATAATAATTTTTATACCGATGATTGTAGAGAATAAGAAATTATTAATAATAGCCGCTATTGGTGGTGCGCTGATAGGATCATTCATTTTTGCTTTAAAGCAAATAAATAACAATAAGCATAGTGAAAATATTAATACAACTCAAACAGTAAGTAATAACTCTTTTACTGAAAACCCACATGACTCAACCATAGCTCTACCAGAACAGAGCATTCCTTCTACTAAACCATCAGAGTATTTCAATCTTGTAACTATTATTAAAAGACTCTTGTTTTATCCAGATGAAAGCAATGATATGCTCGCAATCCAAGCGTTTTACTGGAGTATACAGAACCGCGTTATTGAAATATACGAAAATACAATAACCCATATTAGAATACATATAGACATTCTTAATAAAAAAAATAAAAATCTTTCAATAGAAGGAAATATAGAACATGCTGCAATCTTAGAAAACAGCCAGGAAAAAAACGAGTGTAAAGAAGAAAATCGAATAAAACCACAGAATCAGACAACTATAACAGAAATTATGAATGGCATAGAAGAATGTTTAGATGATAACAAAATAGAGACTCCAAAAACTGAAGAACAAACCAATTTATATAATATCAAAATAGAGACTCCAAAAACTGAAGAAAAGTCAAAAGACTCCAGAGATTAAAAAAACCAATTTAGAAAATATGCGATTTTTATTAACAAGTAGTAGTGTATAATCTCAGATAAAGAGGGTATTGTTAATAACTTTACTATTTTAGAAGGCACAGAAACAAAAAGTAGCGATAATTAAAGAAATATAAGAATTCTGGACAAAAATACTATTCTATATAGAGAATATCTAATAGCATACGACTAGAAACACAAAAATATGAATATTATATAGAAAATGATTTAATTAATTATTTGGTCAAAGTATTGGTAATCCGATATAACCCAAAATTATTCATTATAATAATTTAGTAATTGCATATTAAAAAATAAATGCACTTTTACATATTTTAATATAAAATTAAATATACAATATTGCTTATTATTACACAATGTTTTATACATTATTATAATTATACACATATAAGACTTTTATACAAGATATAATAATACATACAAACCCATAGAAATACCTTCTTTATTACACATTATATAGAAAATACTAAATTTAAAATTAACAATTTCAGACTTACTCTTATCATAGAAATATTCTGTAAATCCGCAAATGGAATCAATCGCATAAATTTAAATCATTTCTGATCAAAAATTCATATAAAAAGTAAAATGACAATAAAAAGAATGCAGCCCCAGAAAGAAGAATTTGTCATTGACTGTAAATTTAAAGAATTCCTCACAGACCCAGCAGAACACCAAGAGGATAAAAGTATGCTTGAACACTTCACCACGTACAGAGCGAGTACTAAACAAACAACCTTCTTTACATCTAATATTTAAGTCATACTGTAAATAAATCTGAATTATTTTTGCATTTGCTTGAATACACTTTGCATGACTTGTTTGTTAAACCCGTATTTACTCTTTAAAATATCCTTTAATACAACATCACCTACGCGCACTGTATACCCATAAGAGTATCCATTATATGTAAATGCTTTTTTTAATGAGGCAATGAATGCATGGCTGTCATTATTTTCATCTAATGAATCACTGCACATATAAAATAGTCTAAATATATGCTTGGCTGCGCTTACATGGATGTCCTCTAAATGTATTGCAATGTACCCGTATGCTGCACTCTCTGGGAAGACTGTTTCAATGCCTTTTATGTAATGGTCTAATAGTGTGTGCACTCTTTCTATAATAGAAGCAATTGGGGCTTTTTTTGAAATTACAGAATCAATTGCTTTTTCTATTATTTTTCCTTCTATCTGGCAGTATATTTTTACTGCATCTAAAATACTTTTCTTCTTGAGTATTTTTAATAATGAAGAAGTGCCTTTCCATTGACTTGCTTTGTGCATGGCTAGAATTTCTTTGATAATTTCATCATTTGATAGAGATTCGATCGATTCAATTCTTCCTATTTGTAAGAGGTATTTTTTATACTCTATCCCATCCACTTCATTAATGGATATTTCTGATGTGGCTTCGGATTTGGACTCTTTTGTTTTTGGGGTTTTTTGGGGTTTACTTGCCTCTCTTCCTATTATTTTATTTAGAAGGTATTTTAGAGTGCTTTCTGTCTTTGTGATTTCAATTCTAATCGGAGGCAGTAATATTATAAGAGAGGATCCTTCAATTGAACATTGTATTTCTTTAATTAGTAATGCATTGTACATTTCCCTGCCTTCTTGTGTGTTGAGCCCTACTATGATTATATCTTTGCATACTAGAATTATTCCTGTGTAGACTTGTCTGTCTATCACTAGAGTAATATGTTCTTTGTGTTGAAGTGTGCGCCCCTCTGCAATGGATAAATCTCCCTGCATGGCCTCTACCTCATTCTCTAAATCTCTGTGAAGTTCTGAGTCTAGCTTACTCGTTTCCCCAGATAATAGAGGCAGGAATAATTCTGGAAGTTCAGATGAAATGCGCTTGGCTTCTGCTACAAGCGCACTGAGCGTATTCAAACCTTCGTATATTTTTTCTTTCTCGCTAATTATCTCGCACGACAGAGAATCCGCGTGCTGTGAAAGTATCCTTACATGCTGGTCCTTCAGTCGAGAACATTCCCCAGAGGAATCTGCCAATATCCTACTGAGATACTCATCAAGAGAGAAGTCTGCGCGCAAAAAAGCATCTTCTGCCATAAAACTTTTCTATTTATTATTTATATACGCCTACAAATAGACACTTACAATGTCATTTGGGGTGCAGGTGGTGCCACACAAAGGACAAGTCTTCTGCCGGCTTGCCATTCTTTCATCAATACACGCCCGACACATTAGATGCATGCATCTCTTGAGTGCTACATTCTTAATATTAGTAGAGCAGAGACTGCATCTAATCATTCCCTGATACAGCTCTATGTCTCTCTGAGAGGACAGCTTCTTACTTTTCTCTGACTCGTGCAATCTGCTTTGTAAATGCTTGTTTACCTCTGCTAAATCACTTGCAGCTTTTCTCGCAGCTGATAATTCTGCTTCATGCTGAACAGATTTTCGTTTATGGTAATTCGCCGAAGACTTTCTTTCTAAATAATCCATCTTGCCCCTTTCTACATCCACCTTTAGTTGGTGTAGTTCTTCTTGTAATGATTTTATGATTTCCTTGTGATTATTGGACTCTTCTGGAATAGAGATTATTTGTGGTGCACTGTACTTTATCTGGTGCTTTAATTCTGTAATTTCTTCTAGTAACAAATCGTTTTTCTTTCCTGTGTCAATGTATTTTCGCACAAGAAATGCTACCTCTTCAAGCCGGTCTATTTCCTTGTTCTCTAGCTCTTTTATTCGGATGTGGCACTGGTTTGCACACTCCACCCGGTTCTCTGATACATTCTCTAAATCCCTAGTTTGCTCAACTATTGTGGAATTTAATGTCTCTAAAGCTAGATATAATTCATTTACTCTCTTCTGTAAAATATCCTTTTCTGTACAAATCCTCTCTTTCTCTGCCAGAAGCTCTGATTCTTTCTTGGAAGATGCCTGGAATATTTCTTCAATTCTCTTTTCTGCTTTCTCCTTCTCTCTGTACGACTCTGCGTCTTTCTTAATAAACTCTTCTATCTTCTCCGTAAGTACTTTTATGCTTAAAGACAAGTCCTTGTTCTCTTGTTCAAGTGCTTTGACTAGCTTCGTGTAATTAGGAGGAAGCCTACTGGCCATATGTAGAACTTTGCTTTCTAAGCTATCTATACGATTTATGTGCTCAGATATTTCACTTGCGTCTATTGCTGGAGTAGCCTCTGGCTGGGGCTGCACAGTAACTTCTTTTGCTTGGCTTGCTCTCTTTCTTAACTGCGAAATGGTCTGCATATGCTGCTGGCAGTTTAGTATTTCTTTCTTAATTATTTCTGGCATCTCTGAATTTACTTTATCTGGGTGTACATTCTCCAATAGAGAAAGTAACTCGTCCACCTTCACTCTTTCTATTCTTAGCTTTTCGCTCTCTGCATGCTCTGCAACTCTCTTATACTCCTCGATTTGTGCAAATATTGCATCTATTTTCTTCTGCAGGATGGTTGTGGTCTGTTCCTCATCCCACCAGTTGCCTTCTCCCACAACAGATGCATCGTATGCTATTTTCTTCAAGGGGGGCACATCTGCTCTTCTTTTTTCCATAAAAAAAATTCGGTGGGCTGCGGTATTTATGATCTGCTGATGCGTGCAGGATATTCTGTAAAGATGTAAAAATAGCCAAAATCTCTTATTTCGGATTACACAAGGCACTCCTTGAAGTAATTCCTGTCAGACATACATACAAACAAACTAAGCCTAAAGATAGAATAACAATAGACAGTATTTAATTAACCAGAGCACAATTCTGTTTACTTTTGGCTCTTTATCTTTTTGCTGGTCCCAGCTGGTGCCTTTGTTTTTTGCTGTATTGTAGTTCTTTTGTTGAACATACTTCTATACCATGGGAACACTTTTTGCACTAGATTCTGCACTTTGTTGATAAGTGCTTTTCCCAGCTTGGTTATCTCAGAGGCAGGCCCATTATACAGTAGAGTGGCTGTGCTGATTCTTTGGAAGTCACTTTCAAAATGCATAATATTTCTGTAGTAATTGCTCTGTGCTCTGGTTTTTATAAGAGAGAGGGTCATTGGCTCTTTGACTATAGAATAATATTGTGGATACTGCTCCTTGTCCACTTTCTCAAAGAACACAGCAAACTCCTCTGCTTGCATGATTTCTGCAATTACTGCAAATAGTGCATCCTTCAGCATGCACTTATGCGGAAACTCTGCGCTATAGTCCTGTATAATCTTTGTTGCTTCTTTTCGCACAAAAAGTGCTTCTTTGTATATATCTGAATCAACCAGATTGTATGTTAGACAGTTTACAAAGACCTGAATAATATCAAACATCACGCACTCAACCATAAAGTACTCATTCTCTTCTAGCCGCTTCTTTATCATCTGTAGGTCCAGAGGCCGCCTAACTATTTCTAGATACTTGTACTCTCGCAAGAGATCTATATCAATGGGAGAAGAGAATATTTTGTGTCTGTCCGCTTCTATTACCTTTTCAACCATCTCAACCAGAATATCCCTTCCTTTTCGGTCCTTGCACTCGCTGTCAATTAAACCAAACTCGTGCTGTGTCATGTGAAAGAATGCTGCATACTCTCTTTCAAAGTATGCTTGGAAGTACTTTATTGTACAGTACGAAGATGTATCGTACTGCGCCGACTTGAAGTACTCTCTAAATATGTGTGCAGCCATTGCATATATATTGCTCATTCGATAGTCATCTGATTGGTTAAAGAGACAGCGCACTTCATTCTTTAAGTGTGTATTTGCCTCCTCATTTGATATTTTTATTTCAACTACACTACCATCAGAAATATTTTCAATAGAGCTCTCTGGTGCCGGCACAGAAGAAGCATCCTCTCTAGGAGCACTATTGGCTTCCTCTGTTAAAGCGTGTGGTTCATCTGCTGTAGATTTTTTATGGTTTATTTCAATGGTTATGTCATCAAACGTAGGAATTCTCTTTTTCTGTTGTGGGTCGGTTTTCTTTGAAAGCTGGGAAATATGCATGCTTGCCTTGCTTTTCTTTATGTGGTCTAAAAGGTGGCATGCAGCAATCTTTTGAGGTTTATCCAAGCAGTAGATGGCCCTGTGCGTGTCATTCTCATAAAGTGCATCTACATCTATTTCAGGCGGCGGCTGCACTGCCTCCTCTACTATAGGCACAGGGGCATCTACTTCTTTTCTTACTTCTTCTGGGACATCTTTCAATGGTATTTTTATGGTCAGTGGCTTGAATAGTTTTATAATAAGCTTGGGCAGGGTTTTTACCTCATCATCACTGCTCATGTCGTGCAGTATGGCCTCTTCTACAACGTCTGCCACAAGTTCAGTTGGCTCCATAAGCAGCCCCTCTATTTCTTCCACTAAGCAATCTATCTCCTCGTCACCTGCAAACATTCTTCCTATCTCCTGTATCTGCGTGACATGCGCTCGGATTTTCTCAAAAATGGGAAGAGCTGCACACATCGCAGCATCTTTTATTGTTTTAAGAATCTTTATTCGGACAAGCCTCTCTTCACTCTCTGCCATTTCTATAATAAGCTTAAGCTGGTCTGGGTGCAGAAGAATCAATGACTCATACGCTGCCATCCTTACCTTATAGAAGTTCTCTGGCAGTGTGTATCGCAAAATTCCTTTGAACGAGACTGTAATGCAGCCTTGTATGCTCAGCCGAGTAAATGCTTTAATTGTAGCACATGTGACAATGTTCTGGTGGCTGGGGAATAAAAGGTCCTTTTTTCTGAGCCTCTCGATTTCCATTACAAATGGCCCTGTATCTAAATATGCATCAGAGCACAGCGCAATTGACAGAGACGTAATGATGTCTGCAATATAGAATGAGTCCTCAAACTGGTTTCCAGTATTATCATTGTACCGCATAAGATTCAACAGAAACGCAGAAACTACATTCTTTGCCCGAATAATCCGGCCACTTAATGATTTTGTTGAATCCAGCTGGCACAGCGACATAGACGACGCAATGTTTTTCTGCATAAAGTATGTTCTATACTGCGAAAAGTCATTTGTTTTTACAATTGTTGTGTTCTGGATACAATGGCTGTTAATAAAGTACTGAACAACCCGCTGAAACCCAAAATACCCTGACTCTTCATTCACGCTTTTCGCCAGAAGTATACCTGCTGCCACGCTTACCTTGTAGAACATCTGGGCATCCCCCATCACTCTCTCTAAAATCCCGCAGATTGTTTCACTTGGATTCTTCTGCACACCCGCCAGCGCTTCCATCTGCCCATACACGTCTTTCTCACTGACCAGCTGCTCTGCAAACATATAATCTGCCTGCTCTACAACAGACACCTTCATCCACTCCAGGCCCGGGTCTATGCGTATCCAAAGCAGAGACGCTGACTCTTCTCCCTTCTGCTTTCTTCTTTGACTTCTTTGATTACATGCCAACTCGTGCGTGATTGGAGTGCTCCCTATAAAAAGAACATGGTCAAGGACCGAGTCTGTTTCGTACACTCGCACGCATATATTCCCTGTAATGTGTCTGTTTGCTTCTGGATGCACTGAGTGAATTTTCTGCTTGAGAATAATTGAGAATCCACCCGCCCTGCTATTCTGCTCTACCTGCGCTATAACAGTTGGTATACCCGTCCTGTACACATACGCCTCAAAAAGCATTCTCACATCCTTTCCAGTAATCCCCTTTACAACACGAATCAGGTCCTGTGTCCCAATTGTCCTTGCCTCTAAAACCTCCTTCATAATCTTCTGCATGAACGCTCTTGTCAGATTATTCTCCAGGATTTTAATGAATGCCCCAGATTTTTTGATGAAAAATGGCGACTTAAACGTATTTCTGGCCCTGTCCACCGATGACAGCGGAGGCTCTTCTATATCGTTCTTGTGAATATAATCTATATTTCTGTTTAATTCATACTTTGCCTCATTAACACCCAAAAACATTTCTATAAGATACATTGACACATACTCAGAAAGACCCGTATACATCCAGTAGTCCTGCTCAGAAATCGCATACGCATGCACACCAAAATACTGCTCTGCCACAATCTTAGTAAGCAGCTTAATACTTGAGAAGCACTGGTCTATTGCCTCTGGTACTATTATCTGAGAGATATTAAAAATAGCACAGTTCCGACCAATTGACCCTGCTACACTGCACATACTAAATACAACATACAGCTTATAGAATGGCAGTTTGTAATCAAGAGCCTGCTGCGCTGCAGAGATCGATGACTTCAGTACTTCTAATGACTCCTTCCCACCCGCGGCAAATCGATCTGAAAGTGCCTCTGGTATATAAATAGTCACTCTCCCAGACTGCATCTCTTCATACATCCCCCCTGCAAATAAAATATCCCTGGGCCGGCCGCTGTCTATTTTGTAATGAAACGTCTTTGTTGTCCCTCCATCATATATCCCACTTAGAGTACCACTTGACACCACCTGAAATCCCCTTTCAAATGACACAATATAGACCATCTCCATACTAAACTCATTATTCGAAAGAATCGGAAACATCCCCTGCGCATGCCCATTAATAGGTTCGCCAGCGAATTCAACACATTTTCTGTTAGGTGTGCTGTAGAATGTTATACTTGGATTGTTTTTCTCTGTCTCAAATAATACTCGTATTTTCTCTGTTGTTGAAGGAACCTTCACTCCGTCACCCATTTCCACAATCTTCCACATATTTTCGCTGAATATTTCTACCTTCAGTATTTTTAACTGAATCTGTAATATTTCCAGTCTTTCCTCCTTCTGCAGATTCACATGAAAAATGCTTGTTCCTGTGCACCGCCTTTCTCCCGTGCTTAAATGCAAGATATTCTTCTGGTGAGTTACATTCATGGAATAAAAAATTATTTTATACAATATGAATGTTTTAATATGCGATTCCTTTACTGCCCCCTCTACAGATTTCTTGGTTATTTTCTTCAGCAGACAGATTTATCTGTGATTATCCGGTGTTCTCTTTTATACTTATTTTTGCTTATTTTTACATGATACTTTCTAATGCCTTATCAAAATAAAATGAATCGAAATTTTCAAACCATACCCTACCAACCACAGCTAAATATAACTCAAATATACCTTTAATAGAAATACACTACAGAATATACTATGGCCCTACCAATTGACTGGCATACTTTAATTTAATCATCTAAATAATCCACTGAAATCGAATTTTATAAGTCTATGTGCAATACGTACTTACAAATACTCTATTGTACATTAATGCACCATAAATTCCCTGAAATATTCTTTCTACTCGTATTATTTATTATTTTTATTAACTAAAAATTCCAATTCCTTTAAAATTCTCATTTCTGTATATTATGTATGCATATTATGTAATAATTTTTGGATTAACTTAAATTTATTTATGCTATACTTTACCCTGTGACAGTGCAGATTGAATGGTTTCTTCTACTATCTGTGCTGTCTCAATGTATTTACAGACTAATTCTTCTACTTCCCTTCCAGTGCGCTTAGATTTATTTACTGTTGTAAAAAGCGTCCTAAGCAGTAAAGACATAAAATGTAAATAAAAGTTTTAATTATGGATGCAATAGGCATATACCGAGCACAAATAAGAGAATTCTTTGAACGGTCAAAAGGAGAGAAGAAATACAAAATATCTCTACTGTCCAATCCACCACCAAAGAGAATTATTATTGACATAGGAGATATCCGGCGGTTTAATAAAGACCTTTCCCTTGCTCTTCAAGAGAATGCAATATCACTTCTTCCGGCTTTTGAAGAAATAGCACAGGAATATTCTCAAGTGGCTGTAAATGTGGGAATATCTGGAATACTGTCCGGAGAGAGAATAACACCGCGCACTCTTCTTTCTAAATATATTGGACGCATGGTGTCAATTGAAGGAATTATTACGAGTGCGTCAATAATTAGGCCGAAGATAAGGAAGAGCGTTCATTATATAAAACCAACAAATTCATTTGTGTATAAGGAGTACAGAGACATGTATACTATGTCTATGCTGCCACCCACTACATCAGTTGTTCCAAAGCAGTCACTTGATGGAAATCAATTAGAACTGGAGTATGGGCTGAGTGAGTACATATCTCACCAGACAATAGTTTTGCAGGAAATGCCAGAATTGGCGCAGCCAGGACAGATGCCTCGTGGTGTGAGTGTTATTTTAGAGAATGACCTTGCCGGGTTAGTTAAGCCAGGAGACAGAGTGCGTGTGTATGGTACATATAAATGCATATCAAATATTAAAGCAGCACAGGATACACTCCGCACAACAATCATAGGTAACAACATAGAAATACTTGGGAAAAAGGAGATGTCTAATAATAACAGTATTGATACGGTCACTAAAATCTTAACAGAAACTGGCGTAGATGGGCTAGTGCAGTATATTGCACCATCTATTTATGGGCACATTCCTGTTAAAAAAGCAATTTTACTCATGATGATAGGAGGGCAGGCTGTGCACACAAACACAGGAGGAAAGATTAGGGGAGATATTAATGTTCTTCTTGTGGGTGATCCAGGGATTGCAAAGAGTCAGTTGCTCAGGTATGTTTTAGACATATCCCCGCTCTCAGTGGGAACAACTGGAAGGGGTGCAACTGGTGTTGGTCTTACTGCTGCTATAGTAGCTGATGCAGATACTGGATCAAGAAGAATTGAAGCTGGTGCAATGGTTCTGGCAGATACGGGGATTGTTTGTATCGATGAGTTTGACAAGATGGATGAGACAGAAAGAGCAGCCATTCATGAAGCAATGGAGCAGCAGACTGTAACCATTACAAAGGGAGGTATTTATATCACATTAAATGCAAGGTGTTCTGTTTTAGCAGCTGCCAATCCCATCTCAGGACAGTACAGAAGTAACTTATCCCCGCGTGAAAATATTCGATTGCCAGAATCAATTCTTACCAGGTTTGATCTTATTTACATCTTAGAGGACACGCTCGAGTACGACACAGAAATTGCAGAGCACGTCCTTGGAAGAAGAATGGGAAGAAGATCTTCTGCATCCGAACTCTCCCAAGATGAAATTTCAGCCTACATACAAGCTGCGCGTAATATAAACCCAGAACTCACAGATGAGGCAGAGGAATACATCAGTAAAGAATATATCCGTATAAGAGAAGAGGGTGAAAAGAACAAGACAAGCCTCTCCAGAAATGTCACTGCAAGGTTACTAGAAAGTATTGTAAGACTGTCCACTGCGCATGCAAGAGCCAGACTCTCTTCTGAAATTATCCTGGAAGATGCCATGGCAGCTGTGGATATACTTGAGCACACTCTTTGGAGAAAGAGTGTTAAGAGAAGAGAGAGAAAAGAACAGTCACAAGATACTCTTCTTAACATATTATACTCCTACAGAGAAAATAACCCAAATGATAAGCTTGTTTCTGTTGAAAAGATCGTTTCTCTATGTGATGTATCCAGAGAAGCTGTAATTGATGGTCTTATGGCATTTGAAAAGGAAGAACTAATCAAACTAGTTGATGGAATGGTTATTTTCCCATAGCCAGAGATTATTGTTTATGCTTTGGTTTCTATTAATAAATATATACGTCATGTCTACCCATATACTACTACGCTTTGTGTGTTTAAGTACATTATATATTTACTGTATTTATTTTAGTACTAAAGGATACTTAAAAAATAAAAGAAAGAAAAGTATTCAGCTTAAGAATAGAATAAGAATAGTTTTATTTTTGTAAATTTTAAATTTAATATGTATGCGTATAAAGAAAACAATATAAATAATACCATAAAAATGAGTATAATAGATAAATACACCATAAATGCACAAAACCATAAAAATCATATTAAAGCAACGGATAAACCACTATAAATATTTATGGAATAGAACTGGAAAGAACAAGGCATTTAAAGCTTGAAGGCACAATGCAATACGCAGCTGATAGTTTATGACAATGCAATCATGTACAGATTTCTGTATAAGTGAGAAATAAGAGATTCTTGTGGTATAATTAATTTTTCATTAATACAGCGAACCTGTGCATTCCAAAAATTAAATGCTCTATTGTTCTGTAAATCTATTACATTGGATTTAATTTCCTGTATAACATACTCAGATGGAATGCAATGATAATTATCTGTTGGTGTATTGATTAAAACAAAGTCCCATGGAGCATCGTTTGTTAGGAATATACCAATTTCATAATCCTTTGGGTCAAGGAAATCAAAGAATTTACACGCACATGCATGTTGCGCTTTAAACAGAGCGCCGGGGGTTTTGAATACCTTATTAAGGAAATCTTTGTCATTCTCGGCCACAAAACCCTCTATGGGAATCTTCAAGGGAATATTTATAGGCCGGCAGATTTTTGTATCCATAATCCTTTCCTGGCAAATAAGCACACCATTTTTCTCTTCAACTCTTTTAAATACATTGTCTAGGTGCTTGTAGAAGTAATTATTTCTGTTTATCGTAAAATAATTGTGATAGTTATTAAATGCATATGCTTCTCCTGATGTGAGTTTCTTATTCGCTGTATACGTATCTGGAACTATAACCGGCATGGTGGATAATTCAGCGAAGGACATTCTGTTAGGAGAGTTTATCGATTTATATCCTATTATTTGCTCTCTTGTTATTTCTGTAAGTATAACAGGAATTGGCATATTTTTTAATGTTTCTTCGCCAGAACTAAATATAGCAAAATTATATATTCTTTCATATATATTGGCATGCTTCCACACAAAGTAAAATACAACATGATCCTTACATAAACTCTCTATTGTATTTACTTCCATCTCATTGTCTGTAATTCTCACCCAGTAAATATCAGATCCTGTTTTTTTCTTTTTGTATGCCATAATAACACCCAGCACATCAGAAGTTTCCATTAATTTCATTAGATATATTTTTATCTCTGCTAGTGTGTGTGGTTTTACAATTGTGCTTCTATTGCCCATCGTCCTTGAAATAGTTGGTAGCCATTTGCATTCATACTGCATAGTGCACGTATTCACAAAGTGTATAGCATAGAATAACTTTTTTTTATCGCTCATTTTTCCTATTAATCTGTGCTGAATTCCATCCTCTTCAAATGCAGAGCTTTCTTTGAATTCAATTCTCTTGTCAGAGCCTGGGATATTCTCATTTAAGTGCAAAGATGTAGTTAAGCTTCTGCACTTTGGTTTAATAAAAACATCACCTGGCTTACCAATTATATTCCGAATACATTTCAATTGAACTTTTTTTGAATGGCACAGTTCATAAAATACATCCATTGCCTTAAGATATATATTATGCGTAAGGAATATCATTTGCTGTTGAGTCTCAAAATATAATAATTTAGCAAAGTTTGAGATTATTGTATCATAATTGCTCGGGTTGCAGAGTTCTGAAAATGAATTTAATAGCATTTCATCATCACGAATGTAAATATAAACTGGGACCATATCACACACATCTGTTCTTTTATCTAGAACCTTCTGAATAGCAGTCACAAAAACACGAATATGCTTCAGAAGAAATATAAATGAATCTGTTGATTTACACTTTTTGAAGTCTTCTATTCTATTGAATTCGTCGTTATCTATGGTTAAAAGGTCATTGTATATCATGCTGTTTTTAATAAGCATGGAGATAACAATGTACATACACCTTTGTAATTTGCCTATTATTTTTTGTGTGTTATATGTTAATGTTAGGGGGCTTATGTAGCGAAGTACAATCCTGTTCATTGGCCTGAATAATTTACGAATATTATGTTTTTCTGCCAAAACTGGAAAATCGATGCTTCTTACTTTTTGTAGTATTTGGTTATGATCTGTTAATAAATGCATGGGGAATACATCTTCCATATATGTGCACACTGTCTTTATTAAACTAGGTTGCCATTTATTACACCTATCTAGTATTTTATAATACGTATACCGTTCTCTTGTTTCACTTGAGCTGCAGACACTACTATATATAATTAACTCTTTCATATGGTTAATGCTTAGTCTTTTAATAACACTAAATATTGTATGAACTATCTCGCAAACAGGGCTCCTATGCTCTATGCATGCATAGTTCTCACTTAAAACCTGTTCAAGGATTGCACGCAGTTCTAGCTCCCATTCTAAAATATTTTCAAACTGTCCTATAAGCCTATTGTTATTTATAGGAAAAGGAGTTCTATACAGACTGCCTCCCATAATATTATTTGAACTGAGCACATCTGTGTTTATACTAATGCCGTCTGCGCATTTACTTTTTGTTATTAGCGTTATAAGAAATACAGTTAGTGCAAGAATGTGCTTTATTCTCTTATCTATACACATCGATAAAATTTAAATAATTTTAGTTATAGTTTAAAGATAAAGCTTAAATAAAATTCTATTTATTCATTTGATTTTTCAAAAAAGAATAAAAATAGAGTGAAGAGTCGCCTAAAAGGGAAATGATCTGAGAAAGATTTACAAAAAAGATAACAAACGGTAAACCCGTTATTTAAAATTACCAGCTGCTTTTACAGAATTAGTTTGTTCTTTTTCCTGGCTTAGAGATATTCCTGTTAATCGGTTTAGCTCACATAGCCTTTCCATAATATTTTCTGATGAATCCACTATAATTAGTCTATCTCTTTCTATTAAGTGAGTCTCCTTTGTTAGAATCTCCTGTACCTCTACTGCATCTAAAATTGCTTCTAAGTCTGTGCGAATGACTTTATACGGCATGTATGGGTTTGGTAATATTCTGGCTAGAATTATTTCATTTTCTTTGACTGTATACTGTCTAAGCTTTTCTTCTATGTGAGCAGTTTCTATTCCAATGAAGGAGTCGCGGCCATTGTACGTGTATGCATTATTTATGAGCAATTCTACGTCCTTCACGGTGTCTGCAAATGATTTGTACTTAAGTTTAGATATTCTTTGCTTTATAAGATCAAGTGATACGGGCGTCCGTATTATAGAGGAGTACCCTGGGGCAATATCATCTGTAATTTGCTCTTTAAATAGAGAATGCCTGTCTGCAGCTGTTAATGCATTGTGCAGAGATTGGATCTGATTGTATCCCTTAATGAATTTAGAGATAAGCGAGATTCTGTTGCTTTCCATATCTAAAATGTGCTTGGATGTTGTGTCTGCTATGTTCTCTGCGAGCTTGTATGAATTCACGATTCTGTGCGTAGTGACTGCGCATATGTTATACAAGTACTTTTCTGCTGCGGGTAGGACTATTTCTTCTGGAAGTTTTAAAATCGCGTGTAAAATATTTGATTCCCTGGTAATTGCCGGATTCTCTGTAAACACTCTCTTCCCCCAGTGGTTGAACTCATCTGAAGGAGAGTCAATGCGAAGCCTTTTTATGATGGTTCTGTCCTTCTTTCTGGCTTGCCATGCAGCAAACATGTCTTTAATGCAGGATGCGCTTGATTTTATATTGGGTAGATCACGCTCTGCAATTCGGTTGACCACATAATCAGAAATTTTTACAGGAACATTTTCAATTTCTAAGTGAACTCTTCTCTGCGGCTGCCATAGCGGGACATAGTTGTGAAGGACTGGAGGATTTTCAAGCACGGGGTAATTGCTATCAGGAGACCGCGTCATGGCCAGTTCTGCTTTTTTCTTTGGATCATGCTCAGTGCAAAATAAAATTCCGTTGGCAATGTCTATGTACTTCTGGCTTTCAACAGCACAAGTCGCATGGTAGTATCTGCGACAGCCATAGTATGCACAGTTTGCCACACCTCCTTTCTTAAACCCGCACTCTGTGCAGTGGTGCTGGCTCCTGTGCACATCATCTATGTCAACGGGCTCAACCAAAGAAACATTCTCAAACCGCGCACCGGGTATGAGTAAGCCGCATATCACATGGCACCAAAACCCATTTCTGGTTCGCTTGTATGCTCCGCCCAGTGAAGAGCACAGAATGCAACTAATTACTTTTTTTGGTGACAAAAGGCATGGCCGACAGAGCCAACTGCCCTCTGGAATGTGCGGTACTCCGTAGCAAGACTGGTGAACAGCAATATTACACCCATCACAGAACACAAGAAAGTTGTCATCTTCCGTTTCCTTTCCTCCACATATATTGCACTCCTCTGACAAATCATCGCCATCAGATATTTTTGTTATGGCAATTCGTTGCAAAAAGTGATGCTCTTTTTCTAGTCTGTCCATGACCAGTTCATACATGTCCTCTGTGAACCAAGAGTGCCTGCTCTGTAAATACTGCAGAATGTCTCTGTCTGTTTCGTCCATATTGTATTCTATATCGTGCGCTGTGGGTTTTCTTCTTCCCTCCAGTGACTCAACAATAATTCTTCTTGCGTTCTTTATATGCATAGAGAAAAATCCGAAAACAAATTTTAAGTGGTTAAAAGACCAAAGAGCGCTTTATTTTTATGCGGAGTGGGAGAGAGAAGCCATTGCCTTAGCAATTAGCATTTTCACTTGTGAGTGCTGTAATTTCAGCTCCTTTGTAAGATCTTCTATTGTTTTGTGTTGTAAGCCCATTCCCAGCAAAATTATCTTTTGGGTTGTAGAGACAGTTGATTTCTTTGTCTTTAAGACTTCCTTTGCCAGCATAGGGAGAAGGTCTGCAACTATCCTTAGATCTAAATTACAACGAGAGAACTGTTGCATTCGCTGGATCTTTGATTCTGCAAACTCGGCTATGTCCTCCTGGAATGGAGCAATTATTTGCAGAGCAATGAGTGTAGAAACAGTGCTAAAACATCCAGGAAGAAGTTCTAAGAATCTCTCAGTAAACTCTCTTTGGTATACGTTCACTTTTTCTTGTGCTTTCGTAGACAGTGCTCGCATCATAATTAGTGAGTGTTCACCAGTGGTCTTGCAGAGGGTGTGCTTTAAATAAACTGCCTTCATGTCTAGTCGCAGCCAGAATTCAAGCAGCCGCTGAGTCACTCCAAATGATACGCCAATATAATCAATTCTGCCCATTGCGAGATCAGAGAAAAGAATCGTATTCTTGCTTGATGTGCTCTGGCATGTATTTACGGTTGTGGCCCTTATGATCTCTTCTACAAGATATGATCCGTACCCCATTGACTGTGCATCTGGGTGAATGGCAATTCTGATAATACGCAGACCTACCTGCTCAAATATATCCATGTCCAGGAAGTACTGTGAGAGTGACCAGGGGATTAAATTACCCTTTTCTGTTCTCTTTTCATTATATTTCTGCTGTGTCTCATTAAGGGCTGATTTACTGCCCTCCTTCACGCACTGCGCCAAACCCAGCACTCTTCCGTCCTCTGTTAATAATGTGACTAAAGTATGGTGCTGGTCATCTGCAAGAGTCTGCAGATCATTTGGACTGTTTTTGTAATGGCCAGACAGAAGTATGCTGGACAGTGCCCTAAGAATCTTTTCAGTCTCTTCATGGCCCGAAAATAAAAGTGCTTTATTAACCGTGTACACCTTGCACTTTTCTCGTGCTGGGAACGTAATCATTTTTGGTATTTCAGGTGACAGTGACAGGGCATTGTTTAGCCAATACTCTACTGGATCATGCCGCCTGTACCGAATTGGCTCTTCCAGCCTGATAATTTCTGGGTTCAATGACTTAAACAGCTTCAGTGAAAGTGCCCTTCCAGTACCCTCATACCCAGCAGTTGTAGATGAAATAAGTGTAGGATACATCCCAAGCATATCTTTTAGTGTGGGCAGTGGAACAGCTGCAGCCTCATCCACTACAAGCATAGACGGTGAGTGCACTAGTTTCTGCGGTGGCATAAACCGAATGGTCTGATAATGCGTCTTTGAAATAGAAATTTTTTCAATGGATTTCTTGGCTGTTTTAGAGTACTCCACAAAGAAATCAAATTGTTCTTTGTACCCGTTCGCAGTTAGGCCTACAATAATAAACTGGAATAATGTCTGAACATTTGATAAGTGCGGTGCAGATATTAAAATATCGTTCAGTCCCTTTACAACAGCATGTGCAACAGAAAGACCAAGTGCTGCAGACTTTCCCCTTCCTCTGTCAGCAGTAATAGCGATTAGTGCCCTTTTATCTATGGTCTCTGTTAGAGTTAGTACAGCATCTGCTTGGTCCTGTGTTCTGCACTGTTTCATTAAGACCGCTGTACTATTTGCACATACCACACTCAGTGGGTTCAGCATATTAGCAGAGTCTTTTACTTTCTGTATCTTCTGGTCAAGAATATTTTGCATGTTCTCTTTATCCTCTAATAACTCTTCTACAACAGTAGTTGATTCTTTAAGTACATTCAGCTGAGTGTCCAGTATCATATAATTATCTGCTGACTGTAGTAAGTGGTAAAGCCTTTTTGTGTATATATTCTGCGTCTCTTCAACTGGAAGTAGAATCACTCCACCACCCTTTACACTCTCCACTACACTCGCCAGTGCATTAGCAGGTATCTTTGTAAAGTCTTGGAGGATGCAGAAGTCAGTGGTTGTTCCCAAGACTTTTTCTGCTTCATTGTGAAATACGTAATTTATCTCAGTGTTCACAATAAATGATTCAAAATTAGAAAGTGCCACCTCCCCGGCATTCTTTCTTTTCTTTGCCTGGCCTATTTTATGCGTCTTTGCTTCTAGCTCTTTTTCGTATACCCATAAGACATTTGGTCTAATAGTGTATCTAGATAGTAATGAGTGGATATGGTGGACTACTTCCTTGACTTTACCGCATACTCCAATTATACAACGGTGCTTGTTCTTGACACTCTCTTCTAATAGACTCAGCAGTCTCTTGTCGACTCTTTCTTTATGAGTTGTCATATTTTTTACCAACTGCAATTTTTTTGTCTTTAAAGCACAGCGAACATCTTTGGGCAGTGGAGTGCTTTAAGGCTGAAATAGAATATATTACACAGTGTGTAATAACTATTGTAAAGTGAATATGCTATAATATATTACACAGTGTGTGATATATTATGAGTACTTTTTAAGCATTATGCAATAAGTTCTAATAACCCGAATAACCCGAAATTAAATAAAAATTTATTGTGATAACGAAAGGGAAGTATTAATTCTGAACTATTTCAATGAGACCGTGCATGCCGCAATTCACTTCAATGCATGAATTAGCAGTGCACACAGGAATTACATAAGTATCACATACGCTTTCAATGCGAGCAGATAAGCACGTAGGGAATATGTACAAGTCAGGCCTGTACGGCCATAAGAATGCATTAAACCCAGAATAGTCCACTGGTATGTCCTGTGGTACAAATGGTAAGAATGTCCCCTGGTACACAGAATGCACTAAAATATCGTACATCCGATCTTCTCTATTCCGACTGATTTCCTTCCTGGATATGCCCATAAGAACATCAACCGTTGTTAGACCAATCAGTACGCCATTTAGACTAATCATGCAGGGATTCTGCAGCTCAATAAACCAGCACTTGCTTATGTCACACATCCCACGTATGCCAGTGCCCTCATCCTCATTACATACAGGAAGGGGACTGGTCACTCTATTAATATACTCAGTAGGGTATGTCATAGATGATTCTAGACCATCTGTATACGGTACACATACTATTCTTATCCTTTTGGATATGGCCAAGGATTTACACACCTCCCTCTCCCGTACGGTTACATCACCAAATATTATCAGTACGTCTGAGCAGCACTCATTAACTAAACTAAGAAGTCTCTCTGATTCATGCGTATCACGTGTCTCCCCTGTGGTCTTAAGAGACTCTAACCTCTTCATATCAATCACACTAACCAGAAACTTGCCTGGCAGTGGTTGCTCTGCTTGTTCATTGAATTCTCTGTCGTATACTAATGAGTCAGCAACTACCTCCTCACCAATGATGTTCGTGCCCAGTACTTTTATTATCTGCCCTGGGTATATCGTATACTCTGGAAGCTCTGCTAAATCCAGGCGTAGAACAGTTGCAGTATAATCTGCACGTACACTAAGCAAGTAATACGCATTGTTTGCGTACATAATCATTCCACAGTAGATCTCCTTCTCTGTACTCTCTCTTGTGTTTATCGCATAGTCAGTCCCACAGAGGGCTTCAAGCCTTCTGCGGACATAAGCATAGAAATACTTTGTAAGAACAGGAAGAAATTTGTGCTTGCTCTGCACAACAGAAAGAACACCCATCTCAGAGACCCTTTCGTTCTTCTCCACTAGCCGCCTACTGAGCTCCTCTACTCTATCCATAAAAAATTTACTGCTGCCTCTTCTTTCCTCTTCTAACTGGGTGTCTTGTGTGGTTTGCGTGTTTTGTTATCGGCTCCTGATAGCTCAGTTGGAAGAGCATACGACTGTAGAAGTGGAATTCCCATTGGAGTTATCGTAGGGTCGGTGGTTCGAATCCATCTCAGGAGATTTTTTTATAAATTTTTAGTAAAATTTTAAGCCATGTTCCCACAGCTTATAAATAAAGTGGTCGTTCCAGAGCTTAAAAACATTTTGGTAAATGAACAAATTGGAATACTCTCTCCGATAGAGTCAGCCCGCCTTGCAGCAACTGCGCATAAGATGGTGAGGCAGAATTTACAGGCACAGATACGGCCTGGAATGACTCTTTTGGAAATGGCTGAAATAGTGGAGAATGGTACAAAAACAGTACTGGGCCAGGGATACAATAAGGGGATAGGGTTTCCCACGGGTCTTTCTCTGAACAGCTGTGCTGCCCATGACAGTCCTAACCCCAAATCACACCCGGTTGTCCTTGCTGCAAATGACATACTGAAGGTGGACTTTGGTACGCATGTTAATGGATACATTATAGACTCTGCATTTACGGTGTGCTTCAATCCGGATTATGACAATCTTTTACTTGCTGCGCGTGAGTCTGTCTATGAGTGCTTAAAGCTTGCTGGGCCAGATGCACCAATTAAGGATATAGCAGATAAAGCAGAGGAAGTTATTAGAAGCTATGAGCTAACTATTGATGGAAGGTCTGTCCCTATACGGCCAGTGACTAACTTAAACGGGCACTCTATTAACCAGTATAAAATACACGGGGGTAAGTATGTTCCCATTATAAAAAACTCTGGGAATAAGTCTAGAATGCTCCCTGGTGAGTTCTTTGCAATTGAAACCTTTGCAACCACAGGAAATGGGTATGTGAATGAGAAAGGGGACTGCTCGCACTATATGATCAGTAACCCAAATGTACACTCAAAACTAGAAGGAGGAAAAACACTTATGAAGTACATACAGAATACTTTCTCAACACTTCCGTTCTGCAAGAGATACATAGACCCAACAGAAATTAAGTCTGCAGATACTTACATTAACTACCTAACTAAAATAGGCGGAATAGATGATTACCCTCCACTGTATGACTCTCCAGGGTCTTTGGTGTCACAGTTTGAGCATACGCTTTATGTGAACGAGTCTGGAATTGAAGTATTATCTCGTGGAGATGACTATTAATAAAGGAATTTTTAATACCTAGTATATAGAACGAATAATGCCAAATATATTATTATGTATGCTTTAATCAGTTTGTTTGCTCATTGTATTTTTAAGTCCCAATGTACAATAATGCACTAGAATAGTCCATTATAAAAATAATGGCTGTTTTGGGTGTGTAGTCTGATAATGGATTTACTGTGCACGAAGAAGGCTGTTAAGAGTAAACCCCACTATGTGTTATATTTATTCAATTACTTAGCAGTAATATTTGAATTAAATTATTATTCAGATAGGTCTACTGGTTGAAATGTGAATCAGTATAAACTTGGCCTTTTTCTAAATAAATTGAAGCATTCTATTAAACTTTCTATTTTTTCTCTTTCTTCTTCTGTACTAGGAGTACTTTTCTTAATTATTTCAAGTGTTTTTAAAACAGTTGCATAATTGTCCTGAGTACGCGTGTATCTTAAGAATATTTCTGTTGTCCAATCTGGAAGCAGTTTGTATGTCTCTGTGATTAATTCTAGCGAGTCTCCTTTCTCCTCACACACATATACAAATAATGATAATGCAATTTTCTTGTGCGTGGATCTGTCCTTCTTCCAGTGCTTGTTAATACAGTTTCTTATTGTTTTAATGTGTTCTATTGCATCCTTCTCCAGCAATTGTTTAAATATTTTAATTAGAAGCCTACGAACTATTAAATGATCCGGTAGGCACTGGAATGAACTTGGGAATTGTATGGACACTTCTAGGCACCTGATTAATATATCATCTGAATTCGTCTCTAGAGCATACCCAATAATTTTAATCATTTCTTCTCGGTCACATGGAATCTGTGTAAAGTCTGCATGTTCTAGTTCTATACTGTCATATATATTTTGGTTTTTTATATATGCCAGTCCTGTAAATGCCTTCTTCTGGTTCTCTGAGTTATTTAGCCGAGCACTTCCCAGAATATTTGAAATGAACCTAGATATCCTGTCTTCTTTTGATAGTTCTGTCTTACTGCTATATATCAGTGCACAGTTGGCTATTCTTATTTTGTACACTGTATCATTTATTTTTCTTTTCATGAGTATTTTGTTTATCCCTTCGCCATTGTTCATTACAGCGCTTTCTATTTCTTTTTTTGGAAGGTCTTGATGCAGTGTCCCTGAAAACCTATCAATAAAAGAGTTAATGCAGTACTGTGTTAAGTGGTCTATGAACTTAGAAGAGCTCTTGTTTGCCGTCTTTGCATTTAACACTGATTTGATTTGATATATTAATCCTGTTCCTCTTAAATTACTGTTTGACAGGAAATACACGTGGGCATGCCCCCTACTAAAGCATAGGGTCACTGTTTCTTCTGCTTGTTCTGTTTTGTATTTCAGTAAAATATCCCCAAATACATCAGGTATTCCAATAGAATTATTTTTTATCATTAAGTCATAGCACATTACCTCTATGGTCTTGTCAAATGCCAAAGACAGAAGAATATTCTTTGCAAATGCTCCTATTTGTTTTAACAGGCCTTTACAGTCCTCCATTGGTGCACCCACTGCCTTAATGAATTCCAGTATTTTGTCTGTATATTGTGCAGATTTATTCGCCATACTCGCAAACGCCAGAAGATAGTTTAGGATTCCACTGATTATTTCATTTCCTTCTTTTTTGTATATGCGATCACATCCTTCTAAGTATACTGTGGATTTACACCACTGCATATGTGTTTCTAAATTTATTTTATTATACGGTGTTCTGTTCATAGAAAAGAACTCATTCACATCATGTATACAGTTCATGTGTTTGGTAGTATACTCCTGGGTTTTTTTATCATACGCCAAACAACAGAATGTAGTCAGTAGAGCAGTTTCAACACAGTCAGTATAGAATTTGTCCTTGTCCTCAATAAAGTCTTTCTTTGTTTTTGGGTAACTTGGCACTTGTATGTTTACAGGCACTTGCTCTGCCTCTGAAAATGGAGATATTTTATACTTCTGAATTTCCTTATCAAGCAGCTTTAGGCTTTGTATATTCTCTGATTTAGTAATTGAACACTTTTTTTCAAAACAGGATAGTAATACATTTTCTGCTATTTTTATGTCTTCTTGGTTCTTGCTCTCTACTGACCTTATTTTATCTATAAGAAGAGTGTGCACTGCTTGAATTATTTTATACGCCTCTTTGTCTGTGTTTGTGAATTCGTATATATACGTTTCTATCAAAAACTGAATCCCATTGAGAAAGTGTCCTTCTTTTAACTCTTCATAGCTCTTAGGCTTTGTGAATTCACTTAACTCGTCTAAAGCAACACTCTTCTGATACCTCTTAAAAAACCGAATAATCTTTGATGTCTCGCTTTGGTACATGTCTATTACTTCGCCTTTCTCTTTGTTGTACTGTTTTATTTTCATGCTCACAGAAAAGTACACTGTTCCATCAGACTTTCTTACTTCCAAAACCTTTTTTTCTTTTTCATCTATTTCCACATTAATACTTACTCCCTCTCCTAAAAGAAGAAGAGTTGCAAGAATTTTATGTGCGTGCTCATGAACACTTTCGTGTCTAAGCCATTTAATAAACGCATCATCCCGGCCTGTTTCAATGGACACCTGTGTTTCTGTAGAAGGAAACATGAGAATAAGCCTTTTGTGATACCCACTCAAATACTTCTCTTTTTTATTTGTAATACCTTCTATTGCATGCGATTTATCATTCTTTACTTCTCTCTTAAATACATAAAGACCCGTAGGTGACTGTGGAGTATCTTTTCGAGTTAAATGATGACTAATGTTAATCTCAGAAGAAAAGAACCTTTTGTTATGCATCAACCCAGTCTGCTGATATATATATCCCCTAAGAAAATTAAGAAACCCATCAGAATTTACTACTATTTCTCCCAGCACAGGATCATCTATTACATAATTTTCTATACACTCTAAGTCTGTTAGTGTAAGCTTTGCACGAACATAATAAATTACCAGAATTATTGTAATAATAATGCAAGCCCTCATAAATAATAAAAAAAACTTTTAGGTACCATCACTAAAAGTAGTAGACCATTCAAAATGTTTAAATATCATAATTTTATAATATTCCTGTACAATTACTCATATTAATACGTTAATATTCTGATTATATATATTCACTTATTAATCTTATTAATAAGACTACTATATATGCTGTACGTACTGTATATACTGTATTGATTACTAAATAATTATGTTTTCCCTATTTAAGTACATTTGAATCTGAATCTTTTATCCTTATATTTTTCTCTTCTTATTATTATATTTATATATTTATAAACTATTCACTTTTTATATTTTTTGTATACCATTAATAATAAATATTATACAAGAATAAATAGTTTGTATTCTACTAAATCATATAAATACACAAAAATACCAGAGAAGAGAAGAATAAACAAGAAATATAAACAAATTAAAAACAACAGAATAATAAAGATGAACCAGATGGGACAACAATTAATACAAACATACCATTAGATGCACATATATAAGTTTAAACTATAAAGAAATTATATATAAAGAATAATTATATAAAAACCTGTAATACTAATAGAATAATAAAACATTTCATACAACAAGAATAAATAAGTTAGTAAAATAGAATAATATTAGGGGATAATACACTAAATAAGTGAATAAAACAAATAAATATTTTTAGTATATAAATAATATAAATAAGTGGTTTAGTTAATCTCCTTTATTATTAATTCTATATAAATATTAGAATATTCAGAAAAGAAATTCAGAATATTTACAATAATTTATTTTTGTGAAGAATAAAAAGATAAAAATTCAATTTTGTATTATTCAGAAAATAATTATAGTCAACAATACAATTAAGCACAGAATATTCAATGGATAGAGGAAGTTATTTATACAGGATAAAATAGGATTTTATAAGAAAATATTATAAGAACAATTTAGACTAAACAGCTTAATGGTATAATATAGAAGAAATGTATAAATTACAATATTATTTGGTTTACTAGGAAGAAGAGAAATCATTCATTATACAATTCAAATTTGTATTATTATTATGATATACTAAAAATAGATAAAATAGGATACTTCTGGTTATTTACACTTTATTGTAAATGTATAATTTATTATAATCCGAAATAATTAAAGTATAATATATAGAGTAGTATAGTAAATAAATACATTTCTATTAATCTGTATATAATCATAACTTTAGAATAATTTTCGGAGTATACTGTATAATTACATAAACATATCTAATAAATCAGTTCTAGATTTTATAGAACTATTCTGGTCTTCTATGTTATTATTAGTTGTTTTAGATTCTATTTTAATATTTTCGTCTATTTTATATTTCTTTTCCTCTGCATGTTTCTTTACAGTGAGATCTTCTACTATTTTCAATACTTTACTACATAATTTATGCTCTGGTATAGTTGTATCTGGTATAACTGCGCCTTGCATAGTTGTATCTGGAATATTTCGGGTGTTATTATTAGTGCCAACTAAATCATCATTATCTATTATTTCTTGTAATATTCTATCTATGCCATCACATAACACTTCGTGATAGTCCATGCGAATGGAGTCAGTGCCCAATTCAACCCCTTTAATTCTTCTTGAGTCTATTTCTTTACTTTTATTATCGAATAGAACTATTCTACAGTTGTTTACTGTAAGAGTCCCGTCTACCCACCGCTTTTTATTGTGCATGCAATATGTGCATGGCAAATCTGTTTTGCTTCCCATGAAATAAAACTATTTTTGCAATAAACAATAAATGTTTCGAAGTGAAGATGTAAGCATGGTTAGATTATATATCTCCCCAGATATAGCAAGAAATGCATTGGAAGAGCTTGGCCAGCGGGATATACTGCACATAGTATCACAAAACACAAATTTGCTGAATAAAACAGACCATTGCTTGGAAATGGAAAAAATACTGGCAAGAATTGCATTTCTTACCCAGAAGCTGAATGAAAACAAAGTTACTCTAATAAAGGGGACAAACATTCCTCCGCTCAACACAACGATAGAGGCACTGTCTGCTTCAATAGAAAAGCACTACTACAGAGTTGCACAGCTTGCACAGATCATGAAAGACACTGGAGAGGCAGTTGAGAAGATGGAGGAGGATGTGATTGTACTGCAGGACATGCAGAGAATTTCTACGGAAGGGTTTAAAGACTTAGAATTTGAGACGGGAAAGATGGAGAACGTCGGATTGGAATATGTGGCAGGTGTTATTTCAAAAGACCAAATATTTACACTAGAAAAATTCTTGTGGAAGTCATTGCACGGAAATCTTTGCTTTGTCTCTGTTGAAATGGTGACGCCCACAAAAATGGGGTTTATATGTTTCACACACGGAGAAAAGGCAATTGAGAGGGTTAGAAATATCTGTACAAAGATCAATGCAAGGATTATCAGATATGAAAGCCAGGCAACAGAGAGGAAGGAAGGTGATCTATTGAATGTTTCAGAGAATCTATCTCAGCTAACTAAGCTTCATAAGATTAACACAGAAGCATTCTATACAGAGATAAAAAACATATCAAGAGAAATCGTCATATGGAAGTACTACATAATTAGAGAGATAGAGATAGAAACTGCACTGTCTAAGCTGCAAATGAACAAAGATAATTCCTACCTAACAGGAGAGGGGTTTATACTGAAAAGAAATGAAGAGCGGTTTGGAAAGTTAATTAAAAAAATAGGAGAGGTGCATGGAGATGCAGCAGCTGAAATAATTGCGATACCAGAAGGCACTATGCTTCCCACGCACTTTGACACAAACCCAATTACGCAGTGCTTCCAAGATCTTACAAATGTTTACAGCATGCCGATGTACAAAGAGATAAACCCAACAATATTTTCAGTCTCCACCTTCCCATTTTTATTTGGTGTGATGTTTGGGGATGTGGGCCATGGCCTGATATTTATTGGAATGGGATTTTATTTTTTGAGAAAGCAGAAAGTAACAGACCTTCCGGATTTAGTAGAAATACTATATAATGCAAGATACCTATTCATATTTATGGGGCTGTGGGCTGTGTATTTTGGATTTTTATACGGCGATTTTATGGGCTGTTCATTTGGAAGCCAGCTTTCTGGGTATACAGAGAGTGGTGTGAGGAAAGGTCTGTGCCTCTTTGGAATAGATTACACATGGCACCATGCAGAGAACAGTTCAGTATTTGTGAATTCACTCAAAATGAAAATGAGTATAGTGTTTGGGTTCTTCCACATTACGCTGGGAATGGTTCTGGGGGCAATTAATGCAGTGTACAATAAGAACATGATAACGCTGCTTGGGGTCATTATACCGCAGTTTATAATATTCTTTGGGCTGATTGGGTATATGGTATTCTTGATAATTTTTAAGTGGTGCACGGGGTATTCTACATGGCCAGGTATTATTTCTGTTATAATTGACATGGCATCATTTAAAACCCCAGAAACCCCAATATATCCAGGGCAGGGCCTAATACAAACACTTATTATGGTGGTGGTACTAGCATCATTCCCAGTTATGTTATTAGCAGAGCCAGTGTATAGAACCATAACAAAGAAGATGCACAAGAACTCTTCTCTATCGGATGTATGGCTGCACTCTCTGATCGAAGGAATAGAGTTTACAATGGGGCTGATTTCAAATATATCTTCGTATTTGAGGCTGTGGGCAGTTTCACTAGCGCACGCAGAGTTGAGTAAAATAATCTTCAGTAAAACAGTTGGGAATGAAGAAATGTCGCTGGCATTCAGAAGTATAAGTTCTATTATGTGGCTTGGTGCCACGCTTGTCCTTCTTATAGGGTTGGAAGGGCTGAGTGCCACTCTGCACAGCCTAAGGCTGCACTGGGTTGAGTTTGGGTCAAAGTTCTTTAAAGGAGACGGTCTTCTTTTTAACCCATTTACATTTAAACCCGGCGTCCTTCTAAACTCAGATAGAATCCCAGGAGGAAATACTGAGTAATTTAAATAAATATTTCGGATTAACTCGAACTGCCAGAATGTATTTAAGAAGTAGCATAAGCAACAAGCCACTATTTAAGACGTAATCTAGAATTAATCAGTATAAATAAGACACCAAAGCATTTCAGCCCTTTTTTGGTGCTTAATTGTATTTTCTAATATGTTCTCATATTTAGCCTTGAACTGTTTCAAATTGTGCATATACTTGTCAGTGCATTGAGTGGTATTGTATAAATAAAGCACTTTAGGTGATTTCTGGCTGTGCTGTGTGGTGGTGGGCCCACAGTATTAATGTATGTTGTGACAAATGTATATTACACGCAGTGTATTTAGATTTATAATAAATTTAGGATAATCTAGTAAACTGAAAGTATTTAAAGATTTGTTTTTTTATTTTTATGAAGATTGAAAGGCCAATGGAGAGGCGATTCTCACAGCCAGGCAAGCAGATTTCAAATATAATAAAGCAGTTGTCAAATCTACCGGAAGAGGAGCTTCCAACGTATCTGAACAATATATACGAGTGGCGGTGCGCCAAGACAGATCTTCTGTACTGGGTTGACGTACTTGATAGATTTGATGAGATCTTGAAGGCAGTTGTAACAGAATATGGGTTAGGCCAATTTCAAAACAAACCCATGAAAGAATCAGATAAAGAGATGGTTTATGCGATATTAAAATTTCAGAAACTGTTGGTTGAGAACAGTTCGAACAAAAGCATGTTCAGCTCATTTGATGTGGTAGAGCCTTTTATCTATTCGTTTGAGCTGGATTTAGCGATTGAAGCGCTTTATTTGGTTTCATTCTTTGCTTCGAAGATTCACATACAGCGATCAATAAAGACAAGCATGGCTCTGATGAAGATGGAGACACTGAAAATACTAATTGAGCGAGTGAAGGAGAAGCCGCAGAGCATGTACACGTACTATGATGAGACTACAAATAATTGCAAGCGGGTGAGTATTAAGAAGGCAGTGAAGAAGGGAATATACAGTATTTCAGATAAGATGCTTCCAAGCCAAGAGATGAGAAGGTTTATACATGCGATACGGCTGCATGAAATGGCTGAGCAGCATGAGAAGTTGAAAATAATAAGAATGCTTGCATTTAGTGCGCTGGTTTACTATAGCTACACAGACCTGCCAATAGACTCTGAGTTTATTAGCCGGGATCTGCCAGAGACACTAGCAATAATCAACACAGAGAGTTATCAGATGAGAGAGGCGGCAGTGACCATGATAGATGCCATATTTCGAATGAGGATTAGGCACTCTGCTGTTATAGCGGCAATGAATGCACAGTCGCATGAAGGGATGATAATGAATCTTTTGAAGAAAGTAGTAAATGAGGATGTTCCAGAGCACTTTGCGATTGTTTTCTTCAATTTTCTTAGTTCATGCTTTGCCTCTGGGCCGTGTGTATCTGCGCTGTTTTCAGCAGGAATTGTGCAGTATGTGTGCAATACACTGAGGGACCGGCCAGATATTTCTTACCGAAAGAGGATGCGGCTGGTGATGGGAGCCAACACATTTTTGTTTACTTTGCCAGCGCCTTTTACATGGTTTATATCCGAGAATGGAATTAGGATCCTTTCAAAGGAATTGCTTCTGGCAGTTGACGTGGCGGTGGGTAACATAAAGGACCACGACCTGCTGATGTACATCAACTCAATAATGAAGATTATATCGCAGCTATTTAAGAATGCAGGAACAGCAGAGGCAATGCGCGGGTTTTTGGAGGGCGAGTTTCCAAGGGCTATTAGCTTGATTCTCTTCCACTCGGAAGAGTTTACACCCTCTATTCTTGCGTATTTGTTTTCAGCGGTTGGGGACTACATTCACAACGAGCCATCAAACCTTCCCTTTATTATTGAGGCAGGAATATTTGATGGGTTTGTGATGTGCATGAAGAAAGAGCTGCCTGAATCGCCAGACTTTCTGCTTGAGCTGCCTAATCTGATTGAGGCGTTCTTTTTGAACTCAGAGCTAATCAAAAAAATAGATGAAGAGAATATCTTGGACAGGATATTTGAGAGCTTTGAAATAGTAAATTTGAGCAATATTATTCTGATGTATGACATAGGCCGTGCGTATGGTATATTCCTGGAGAATCTTGTGCGGCATTATCCGATTATTTCACTGACGGTTAAAGAGAAGATATACAATACAATGAAAAATCTGGAAAGCATGATACCGAACACCGACCTAGAGCTCATGCGGCTTCTGCTTGGGAACTTATTCCGGATGATGCACCGGGCAGTGTACAGAAAGACAACCAACAACCAATTAATTACAGACAAAGGGCTATTGAACAACAGAATAATAAGCATGCTTATGCTGATAGAGATCCCTACAGAAACTGAGCTATACACTGATGTAATGAACATACTAATGGAGGTATTTGATGAGGATCAGACGTATGTTATTTCATACATTGCTAAGGTTATTGATAGAGTCATGAAAAACAAGGTCACCCTAGAGAACATAGAGAAAATCAAAAGAATTCTGCTGATAGTGAACTATCTTATATTCAAAAACGAAGAGACATGCGAAGAGTTTATTAAGCACTGCACGTCCAAGGGGTTCCTGCAGATTGTTAAGAGGATTAGCCAGTACTTTGACAATCTAAAGAAGGACACTGCCCTGGTGAGTGTGGCAAAGAATGAAAGTCTGACCAATCTGTACTATTCGTTTACTATGGGGATACTGAAGACTGTGTACAGGTACAGCAAAACCAATGCTAAGGAGTACTTAAAGATTTTTGGGCTGCTAGTTGAGGACTTATTGAGCAAGACAGAGCAGATAGACCACTTATACTATACACAGCGAATGCACGGGCTGAAGAACTATATTATGGTGGACAAAAGCCCACAGCAATACCCACAGAAGAATGAATTTGTTGTAACGCAGGAGTATCTTATGGGCATTAATCTGAGCGAGACCCTTATGGAGCACGCAAAGAATTCGGTTTCTATGCTGAAGAGCGAGAAAATAACCATGGATGCGCATAAGAAGGTAGTTTCATCCATACTTGAGGTGCTTTCTATATATGTTCGAGGCATTAAAAATCTCTTTGTTCCAGTGAAAGAGCCCAAGAAGAAGGTGTGTGAAATTGAGGAGCATGTGCTTATAATAGCAGAGCTTCTGATGGACTACATAGACAAGAGCAGCATAGAGCATCTGCTGAATATAGTAAAAACTGCCTTCTTTGTTACTCTTAGGAAGCAAATCACAAAAGAGGTGGATAGGGAGAACGAAGGTTCAGCAGAGTATAAGAGAAGGAACATTCTTGGGTCATTTTTCATTTCTGTGTTTTTAAACCTTCCAAAGGAGGAGACAGAAGCTGTTCTGAAATCAGATATTTTCACTATTCTTGTAAAGAACAAAAAAACGTTCAAGCAAGTGTACAACAAGAACTGTTTTGGCCTTCTGCAGTATGCGGCAATTAAGGAGAGCAGGGTGTTTTCGCATCTGGTCTCGTTTATTCCAAAGATGACCAAGCAAGTGGGGGCATCTACAGACCCGGCTTTTTTGAAACTTTATGCAGTTGGACTTGTTTTTGTGGCAATACGGGACACACTGAAGAAAACAACAGTTCTTTCTAGATTCATAGGAAACGTTGTTTTCGCAGAGAGTATGTGCCCAATGGTTGTAGAGGCGCAGGGAATAGTTATTCTTGCGATTGTTAAGCTAAAAATAGAGTATAATCTTGCAATAACAATAGAAGACCCAATTATTCATTTGAATCGGATATATGCAATAGTAGAAACGGCAGAGCAGAAAGAAAGCTTGGTCATTCTAGCCAACCTTCTGATAAGAAGGGTGATAGAAAGCAAAGAGGCGGCGAAAGAGGCAGTGGACACTATTATAAAGAACAAGCATTTGGGGAAAAGCCGGATGTACACTGTTCACACTGTGTGCAGCAATCTACGAAATGCGTTGTTCTACTCAATCACATCCTTCCTGGAGTATCTTTCAAGTAACTTTGAGTGCATTAGTGCGGGGTGGGAGGACATTCGGCACAAGCTTCCAGATGAGCCGGCAAACCCCACAGAGAGTGGGCAGATATCAGAGGCAGTGCTGGAGACTCTTTCAGATGGGCTATTCACAAAACAGATAAAGATATATTCTGGGCTAAATGCCGAGCTTTTTAGAACACTATTCGTGCACAGGGCAACTGGCAAGATGGAGCAGATAGTGCGAATTCACTCGCTGTGTCTCTTAGTAGTTTCTTTCCCGCAGCTTATTTCAACACTTGTGCTAGAGGACTATTCATTCTTTATGTACTTCTTGGAGAACCATGCAGCGTACTCTAAATCACTGAAGCCGAGTGCATTCCAGCAGGAAGACAAAACCCTTGCGTACTGGTCGGGCCACTTTATTATGCTTATATTCAACCATACAACGTATGTAGAGGTTAAGAAATACATTCTAGAGAAGGTTTTGGAGCTGCTTCCTACGTCTATTAATGCAACGGTTATTTTTTCTGAGCTCATACAGGAGATTCTTACGATGCGATTCAGCAAGAACACATTTGACGAGAACACGGCGCTTGTGAAAGAGATGAACTGTTTAGAGGTTATGATCAGAAGCACCATGCAGATAGATAACAGAAGAAAGGACTATGGGTCTATCATGGAGATACTTACCAAGCCAATGGAGTATATCACGCGTATTTTAGCAGTTGATGAGAAAGAAGCGTTTTATGAAGAGGTTACGCAGTCAGAAGAAGAGGTTTATTTTGAAGACATTGATGAAGGGTACATGGAAGACTTTGACACAGATGAGACAATGGATAGTGACCAGGTGGTGTATGATGACACAGAGGAGAACTCACAGGAAGTAGGGGAGTTGTGCAGTGAGGATTCGCTGACTGTATACACTGCAGAGTCAAATAACTATGGGGAGTATCTTATGTCAGATGAAGAATCATCAAGTGAGGAAGAAGGCATGGATGAGGAGCAGTTCTCGTCTGAGCAGTCGGAGAAGAATGAGTTCCTAAAGTCACTCTGCATACTTCCTATATCTAAGCTGATAGGAAAAGAAATGGAGATATTCAATGCAGATGAAAGAATGCCTTTTGTGCAAAAAATACTTGAAGGCATCATTATTTCAAATCTCCAGGAGAAAGAGCCTTCTTCTACAGATGAAGAAACTTTTGACAGCGAGGAGGGATCATATCGCAGGCACCAGTATCTCATGCGGCGGGAAGAGGAGAATGATGATGAAGAGCTAAATGACTATGCAATCGACCCTACAGACCCAGATGCGCACTTAGACGACGAGGGTCCAGAAGAAATTGATGAGGGCGTAGACGAGTATGATGACGAGTCGCAGTATGACTATGATGGAAATGGGTCTGATGACGAAGAGTATGATGACGAAGAAAGCTTTGCAACTGGAGAAGAAATAGCCATTGGTGATGAAAATGGAGAAATTCCTGAGTTGGATGTGGAGGTTTTAAATAATCTACCGTCTTCTATTCTAGAGGACACGGTTGAAAACTTCTACCAGGACAGAATCTCGTCAAGCACTGAGTACCGCGCAATAAGTCTGCACTTTTTGAACAGACTTAGAGAGGAGGTGCGAAGTGTATTTGAGGAGCACGAGGCTCGGTATATGGAAACATTCGCAGGAGAAATTGTGCCACGCAGAGAGGAGAAGAAAAAGAAGCCACAGGAGATGCCATTTATTGCTGAGAGAGAGGCCGCTGCCTCTGTCCCTATTGACATTGTTTTTGGGCTTATTCACATGGTCCTGCAGTGCGGAAACAGAAGAAACCTTTATCGAATAATTCATAATATATCTGCAAATAAAGAAGTGCGGATATTTTCAGTGGAGACTTTGGTTAACTCAATTCATCAGGCTATGGTAGAAGGGGCTAGCAGCTCTGCTGGCGCAGGGAGTTCAACTGTAAATGCAAGCGCTGGGTCATCTGGAAACAATGAAGCAATCGCACCAGAGGTAATTACAAAGAGAGGATTTGAAGCATTAACATATCTGTGCACCAAGTCGTCCGACTTTACGACTGTTTTCAGCTACAACACAGAGCTGATAAATAAGATACTTCAAGCTACTAACAAGAGGACTATTGCTGAGAGCGTTAAGCTTTTGAGCACTGTGGGTGACTGTTTCAATAATGATAAAGTATCAGAGCCAGAAAACATTGAAGTGCGCAAGTACATAGGCTTTTTGGAGTATGACATGACAGATGATACTTTTAAGCATTTCTGTGAGTTTATTAAAAAAACAGACCGGTTCTATAGGCCTATGTATCTTCTCTATTTAATGGGAGGAAGCAAAAAAAGCCTTGAAGAGTGTCTGGATAAAAAAGCAGAATTTAACAGCCACACACACCATAAGGGCATTATAAAGCTTGTTAGAATGCTGAGTTTGGTAAATATCATGGGAATAACAGAGACGTATCTGGATAGTCTTATGGAACTTAGAGAGATGCCGTTCTGGGAATACTATTTTAATATTATCCTGCCTAAGGAGAAGGAATCATTGTATGCATCGTCAATTCTTCCTCTATTTAAGGCATTTGTCATTGTGCATACGATACAGATGTATATAGGAAGAAATGAAAACGTAAATGAGTTCTCAGAGATACCAAATAGCGACTCATCTATATACTATAATGTGGTAGAGAAGGAGAAAGACCTTATTAACACATTTATTCAAGCAGACCCGGATCTATTATTCCATGCGTTTGCAGGCCTTCAGAAGAAAATATTAGACTTTGACAACAAGCGGATATACTTCTACAAAAAAATACGGGAAGATGTGCAGCTACGGCCAACTATTTCGCTTATGGTGCAGAGAGGAGCAGTGTTTGAGGATACTTTCCACCAGCTAATGCGGCTGAATGGAGAGCAAGTAAGAAATGCAAAGTTCAACATTAAGTTTGCAGGAGAGGAAGGTGTTGATGCAGGCGGCCTTACACGAGAGTGGTACTCTGAGCTGAGTAAAGAGATGTTCAATGCAAACTATGCACTTTTCACTCCTATAGGCTCTTCATACCAGCCAAACCACATAAGCCACATAAACCCAGAGCATCTTGTATACTTCAAATTTATTGGGCGTATTATTGGAAAGGCTGTGTATGATGAAATGACTGTTGACTGCCACTTTACACGGGCCTTCTATAAGCGTGTGCTAAGTATTCCTGTTGACCTCACTGATGTTGAAGCATTAGATCCAGAGTTCCACCGGTCTCTTGTCTGGATTCTTGAAAATGACATTGAGAATGTTCTGGAGATGACTTTTTCGCTAGAGCAAGACCGATTTGGAATTACCGAAGTAATTGATTTGAAGGAGAATGGAAGAAACATTGCAGTAACAAATGAGAATAAGCGAGAGTATGTAGAGCTTGTGTGTAGGTTCAAGCTTGTCCGAGTGATTGAAAGACAGTTGTCTGCATTTGCAGAGGGATTCTTTGAAATACTAGACGTAGATATGCTAAGGATGTTCAATGAAAAAGAGCTTGAGCTTCTAATCAGTGGTCTTCCAGAAATTGACGTGGATGACTGGCGCAACAATACTATATACTTTGGGTACACTTCAGACTCACAAGTTATTCGATGGTACTGGCGAGCAGTGCGTAATTTCAGCATGGAAGAGAGAGCCAAACTCCTGCAATTTGCCACAGGAACTTCTAAGCTACCTCTTGAGGGATTCGCAGGCCTGCGGTGCCAAAACGGAAACCAGAAATTCCAAATCCACAAAGCATCCGGCGGATCATCCAGACTGCCAACTGCACATACATGTTTCAACCAACTAGATCTACCAGAGTATGACTCATATGAGCAATTAGTTAAGGCGCTTCTTTTCTCACTAGAAGAGTGTACTAGTGGGTTTGGATTTGCATAATAATAAATTAGCTTCTATTATATCTAACTGTTTCTTTATAGTAATAGAAATCTTAAGCATGCATACTCAAAAAGTACATAAACTCATATTTTATATTTCTATCACACTGTCTACACAATATATTTATACACGAGCATATAAGACACAGTGCATAATTACTGAAATTACTCCACAAATTCATAAATATACAGAATGTGATCTCTAATAATTACTTTATATTTGATATATGTAATATTACATCTGTCTATCTCTCTGATTTTAATCCATATTCACTAACAAATTGATCCATGCGATGTGAAATTGTGATAGAAATACTTCCATCCCATTATAAATTGAATGTGTGATTATATCTATTCTGATGGAGTGTATTCTACTTAATATATGAACTATTCTATCTTTCTGATACCTCATTTGGATTCTGCTTTGTTCTACTGCTTTAATGCAGACACGTATACAGCAACAGAATAATTTGCAAATTTATTTTTATGCTCTTGGTTCTTGTGGTTTCCAGCCAGTTCCCAATGAGCGCAGAGTCAATGAATGACCTGCTTGTTTTTCTTATAATGTATCTACGCACAGGCCATAACAATAGGCTAAAGATAGTTAATAAACTTTCTATCTTATTTGATTCTGATGTGGATTTAGAAGAGAACCTCACAGACAAAATACTGCAGGGTTTTAATGGCGCACCATCCACCGGCCAGTGCAGAGACCTTGGTTATGCTCTTCTACTGATTCAAAAGGAAAAAAGAGATAAAAGTAAAATACTTTTCTTTTCCTCAGGCAATGCGTCACTCAACTTCATAAAATGCGCATTTACTGCAAGAAAATTAAACATACACGTAGACTGTATAATACCAAATGATGGGTTTGTATCACAAGTATCAGATGTTCTAAAAAGACCAGCATTCTGCATATCCTCCGGAGAGTCTTTATTTGAGTACTTAATGGGAATGCTTTCCATAGACTTTGGCCGGATCAGCAGAAAGAATGTCCACAGATTCTGCATATGCCATAATAAAGAAATACAGACAGGGTATCTCTGTCCAATCTGCCTCGGTCTTTACTGTAAATTTGTTCCTTTATGTAAGCATTGTAAGACAAGATTCGTCTTTTAATTTCTAGTTATACAATCATGGCTTAATACACTAAAAATAGAAATAATACTGCTTGAATGATTTCTGGTATTTTGAATTATCAGAACATTCAGAATGTGCACTGTCCTGTACTGAAGATAATTTACAAGTGGTTTTATGTATTATACGCTTATATTTGCTATTGTTTTATTATTCTATAGATAATAAAAGTACTTAAAACTTACTACACATATATCATAAAATTATGAATATAATTATTATAAATTACTACAGTAAATACAGGCATAAGTGAATAAACAAATAAATGTATATTTATGTTTAGCTTTAATGCCAAATAATACGGATTGTTCATTATTATAAAAATTAGCAGGTAGTAAAATAAAAGTATATTAATAAAATAAGGATTTAAATAAAATGTGAACTATGCATAATTTATTAAAAATAAAATATTATTTATGCCTTATATAAAATATATAATGATCTTTTCTTAAAAAAAATAATAAGATAGAGTTACCACAGGAATATAAAAGAAGAAAGAATTCAGAAAAGAATGAAAAATATAGGACAAATCAGGACAGGACAGATCTTGTCAGGGAAGAGATATGTACTCAGAGAAAAAACTAAAGTGGGCCTTATCCCATTTAACTCTTGTTATATTTGTGGGAGGGGTATTTTATCAGAAGAAATGGGTGTTTCAGATGTCAAGTCATTATTTAAAGGGTTTAAATACGTTGACGGAATAAAATATATGTTAATAAGTAATGAGTGCGGTAAGAGCTCTTATATATATGCAGATGAAGAATTATCCACTGAGCACTGTACGTGTGTAATACCCTATAGGCCATTTACACCGGTTGGGACTCTTTTTAATTTGGAAAGGCCATTTCTAGGGAATATGCACAGCCACCCCTTTCCGGATGTCTACCTAATTCCTATCTTTCCCATTTATTCTCCATATTTTATATCAGTGGAGAAAATAATATCTGGTAAGGATACAAGGACTACCTGCATGTTAAAGAACATACCAAATAAGTTGAATATAAGCCAGTTAATAGAGGTGCTTACATCTATTTGTTACAATGCATTTGACTTTGTCTATCTGCGGATGGACTTTAAAAGTAACTGCAACAATGGATATGCATTCATTAATTTCCGAGAGGCAAAGTACATTCCAATATTTCTTGATGCAATACAGGGAAGAAAGTGGAAGAATTTTAAAAGTGAAAAGAAAGGCGATATAGCATATGCCCGAATACAGGGTCTACACATGCTACAAAGCAGATTCAGGAGAAGTGATATTCTAGCAGCAGACAAAGAATACTGGCCAGTAATTTTTAACAAAAAAGGGGATCAAGTACTTGCATCTGAATGGAAGTTGCACTAATAGCCAAAAGATTTTATTTGTTGTATTTATACACCTTTACACTTGTTTAATAATTCCTTTGACTTTTCTAAAAGAGCCAGCTGGTCTGTTAAAATACTACCAGCCTGTGCGCATGACTGCTTGTCATAAAACCATAGCCCAAATACTTCAATTTCCTTCTTGTGGGCTATTTTTATAATAATAAACCGGTCGAAAATCTCTATGCCGTGCACTGCTTTGTCTATCAAAAGATGAAAATCTGCAGGTGCTTTTCGATTTAGCACCAGAATGCATGTGGATGGAATTATTTTTCTCTTATACAAATGGATTGCTCCTTCTGTGCATGTATTAATCCATTTGTTCTCATATTTAAGGACCAAAACGTTAATAGATGTTAGGAGTAGGTGACTATACTGTGCGTCCTTTCCTTTGAGCATTCTATTAGTTACTTCATTTGTCGGTGGTCTCTTTGTGTGCATGTTTCCCTTGTTTTAATTGGTTTTTTTTATTTGTTATGGCACATATTCAAGTTCTGAAGAAACTTCATGCCTCAGATATAAAAGACGGAGTAATTTACGAAAACCGGCTGTATACTGTCGGAAGAGACCGGGTTGTGCACATATCCTCACTGCCTGATTTAGAAAGTGTTGGAGGGTCAGAAAACCTTGGTGCACCTATAAACTCTGTGTGCATACACAATGCAGTTTTGTATGCGGGACTGCAGACAGGAGAGATAGTAAGGTATGCAATAGAAATGGATGAAAACAGTGAAGAATCTGGCAGTGCTGGGAAAAAAGAGATTACTCTTAAGCTGCTAGGAAGAAGTAAAGTGCATGGAGACAATGTATGCTCATTAAGCAGCTTTGATGAGGGGGTTATTAGCACATCCTGGGATGGTTCAGTTGGTGTGATTAAAGAAAATCAATCTCCAGAAGTAATAAGAATAGAAAGTGTTGCTTGGTCGGCTAAGAAAGTCCCTAATGAAGATACAATTATAGCTGGATGTATAGATGGGTCTATATGCACGATTAAAAAAGTAAATGGAAGATATACCCAGGTTAAAGGTATAAAACTGCATGCTACTTGCATTAGAGACATCTGTATGGAGAACGATCGGTATGCCACGGTATCCAACACAGGTGTAGTTATTGTTACAGAGCGCAATGGCCGGGTGCTTCATAAGATGGATCTAAATAACACTAGCTTTAGAATAAATAAGTACACAGCAGGAAATGCCACTGGTTACATTGTTTCTGCAGATGAGGGAATGGTTTATCTTTTAAGTGAGACTCTAGAAAGCCTTTTCAGTATAGCTGCGCCCACTCTTTCTTGCTGGAATGCACTGTCAGAAAATGGCAGAATATTTGCACTAGGCGCTGATGGAAGAGTATATGTTTTTGCCGATAAGGAAGGCAATCCGCAGTACCAAAAAGAGCTAGAAGAGTTACAGAATAAGATGGGAAGCGACAAAGTACAAGACACTGCACCGCCAGCCCAAAAACAAGCAGAGGATGCAAATAGCAGCCCACAGTACAAAGTAATTGATGATAAAGTATATGAGCTAAAAGACGGGGAGTGGGAATTATTTGGGAGCACCGTGGAGAAGAAAAAGAAAGACCATACAATTACAATTACCCTAGGAGAGGCCAACTATACACTCTCATTTGACAAAACAGATAAGTATGAAGAGGTGGCACTTGGATTTGTAAAAGAAAACAATTTGGGCACAGAATACATTCCAGAAATTGTTGAGTTTTTAGACAAGAACTTTGGAAATAAGAAGAAAAGAGACGTGTCGAAATACTTTATGTATGATACGATTGACCTTGATATTGTTGGAAAAAAGATTCAGCCACTTCCTAACAGCAGCACTGTAATTGAATTTCTGCAGGGCATAAAGAATGGAAAGTCCTCCCAGCATAATGAGTCAGATGTAGAGGTAATTCTAAGCGAATGGATGGAAATGGGAACAGAAAAAGTAGCAGTTCTTGATGTGTATAAGTACTTAATTGCTAAAGGTGTAGACATAAATTTGTCATTCTTAAAACACATAGACCCATTTTTTTGTAAAAAAGTAGCTCTTGTCTTTTCTCTTATTTCTACAAATGTGCTAGCCATGCGCCCAGAGTGCAAGTCACTGGTTGACAATACAATGACAAAAATAATTGACAAGCAATTAGTAAATTCTAAAGTTCTTCAGAACTACAAAAACAACAGAAGGCTTTAAAATAAAATAATTAACAAATGAATAAAAATCACATTAATTAAGTTAAATCTATTATACAAAAAAGTGTCCTCTAAATACACATCTATTCTATAGGATTAAAAATATATAGAATATATCTGTGGTGTCATCACCACTCAAGCGCGCAGGCTCGAGACCGATCCTCCAATGCGCCTACGCGCGCGGTGATCCAGCCTTCGCAAAAGGCCCGGATCTAATAATCACAAATTAACTTTGGACTATATAAGTAGCACGCACCCAGACAATACTGGGACAACTACGGGAAACATTTACCACAAGGCTCAGCGCCAATAGCGCCACAAGGACTCCGCGTCCGCGCACATCCCAATATTCTAATAATCATAATAAAGAGCATCCCTTAATACTATCTTTATCTATCCTGGACTATGTTATCCGGGTGGCGACGGTGCCTCCTCGTGAGCACATTATATAGAATATATCGAATTAGTACAAACCAGTTAGAAGGTTTATAATAAACATAAAAATTTGTAAATTTTAATTAATCTGGAAGTAAAACTGACTTATAGGGCTTATATTCTTTATTCATACAACAGAGGTTAAAATATTTCCTTAAATATAAAAATTCTAAAAATAAATATTAATGAGGTACATTAAGGAAGCCATACTATGCACATTAGCACTGTTCCTATGCAAGTGCTCAGTAGAAGAAACGGAAGAAAGCCCATTTTATGGAAGACACACGTCAGATGATTCAACAGTCAATGAATCATGCATTTCAAATGAATGTTCATTTGATATAGCGACTATATCATATGATCGTAGAGCATCAACAATTTCAGATATATTAAATACTATTAATAGTTTAAATGAGAGCAGTATGGCAGAATGCGAAGCTACATTTCCGGAAGAAAACAGATCAATAACTAGAAATAGTTCTTTCACACTGTCATGTGTGGCTGCATCTAAATATAAAAAAATAGACGAAAAACTAATTAGGGACTTTAACAATAACTGTATGGCGTTAAAGTTCTTTTCAAAAGATCAGATTGATGATATACTCAAAAATTGGGAGTCTATTCACGCAAAGTATTTAGAAATAATTTCCAACGTAGATGATCCTCTAATAGAATTAATTCATGATATAGAAACCAACTCAGAAATAATAGCTAGCAATGACTGCAATGAAAAAACTACTGAAATAGAAGAATATATAAAGAAGATAGAAGGAATATTTGGGAGTCAAAATATAATAGAAGAAGACAGAAAAGGATTGTATGAATGCTTGAATGCTCTAAAAAATGTTGGCGAAGAAAATATTAAACTTGTTTTTAAGAATAGTAATGATAGGATGCGCGGACTCCATAAAATAGTAGATTCTGCCAAAAATGCAATTAAAGATGAGTTTAATAAAATCTATTTTCAGAGCTGTTTTAAACTAAAAAAGAAAAAAGTCTATTTTCAGAAGAACAAGGATAAAAAAGAAATAATCTGGAGAATTGTTGATTTAATGAATATAATTGTAAGGCTAGCAGAAAAAATACAGAATGGCATACTTGAACCAAGCAAATCTTTAATATCTGATCTTGCTAAACATGGAATGAACGCGGATAATGACATGCAAATAGGATCAAGTAGTCTAAAAGACTGTATAAAAACAATTGAGAGTATATTGTTTGCAGCAACTCCTGGGTTTATTACTATAGAATTAACAAGTAAAATGAAAATGTTCGTAAGAGATGAAATGTTGAGCATAAAAAATAAGCATAATAATAATCCAAATATGATTTGTAAACTTATTATAAGTGTCGTCTGTAAAAGTCTACTTAATCACTTTATTGCAGAGTCAAGTTCTTCCAGAGATGTCTTTTTATTTGGGTGCAACCTTAAAGCGAACTTTTCTGCAATACAAGCAGGAATAAAGTTCTATCATATATTAGAAAATATCGAACTACGAAGCAAAAATGTAAAACAATCTTCCCTGAGAGCAAGCAAAAGAAGAACAGTCACTTCCTATTTTACATCATTATTTGACAGAAAAAATGGTTCTATAACTGAACAAATAAAAAGTGCTGAAAATGATTTAAAACATGCACTGATGGAATCTTCACGTGAATTAGAAAATAAGAAACCTCCCTCAAAAAACAATGTATTTATGTACTTGGGAAACATAGACTACTTTGAACAGCCATTTGATAATGAATCCAAGTATAATAGATTGATTTCAGAAGTATTCAGTTACATCGATTATGAGATGGATAGTCTGAATAATACTTTTAAAATGAAAAATGATACATCTCATAATATAAACGCGCTTGCTATATATACAGTATTGTTCTACCGTATAATGACACTTGCTTCAATAGAAAATATTCTAATCGATATGAATTTCATGGCAGTGTCAAAATACGCATTGCGAATAGTTGCTAATCAGTCAGATGAGCAGAAGTATATTATGAATTTTTTGCTTAACCCAGATAGTATACTTTCTTTCGAATAAACTACAATATGATTAGAAGGCATATAAATAAATTCTGAAGATTTTAAACATACAGAAATAACACAATTTGTATATTTTCATTGTTATAAGAAATACTCCCTAACAGAAATAGAAAGTGATTGATTTGTTTTAAACTTCTTATACTCCGCACATCGGATGTTTTCGGATTAAAATATTATTTAGCTGGCAAGTTAAATACAAAACTACTTAGATTTATTTGGTATTTATTTCAATTTACACCTTTCGTTTATGTGGAGAAGGGGACTTTAGAAGGGGTGCTGCTATCACAGAGTAAAGTCCATTGATAACTTTTTCCCTTTTCTCTTTTCTTTGGTGGAACTCTTCTGTTATTTTTTTCATATCATGCTTGTACTTGGCATATTGAACCGTTGATATTGAAATTCGGTTTAAAAGATTCAGAAATGAAATTATGTCTGATTTACTTATGTCCACCGGCTGGCCTTTTGCTCTTTTAAGTAGGTTTAATGCACACTTAAGCCCATCTATCTGCACCTTGCCCCACAGTTTGCATCGCATGCAGTCAACACATCCCATTAGATAGGAAATAGTCCTGCACTTCTCTATGATTTCATCTGATACATTGTACATATCATAGTTATATGCCATGTCCAGGGGAAAGGATCTCTCCAGCGCATTTAGTGTTATAATTCCTCTATGGGAATGTGTCATCTTAAACATCATATCCAGCCCAATAGGAAGTATCGCTATGAGTGTGTCTAATGTATATCTTAAGTTGGAAACATACTCTTCATTAACCTTCTCTGTCATTAGTTTGTAGTTCATGTAAAGCTTCCTATTGACAGGATCTTCATTATAGAAAGAGCACAAGTGGACAGACACAGAGCAGTGGATTCCACTCAAAAGTCTTCTAAGTAAGTGGTCTTGTTTTCCTATTTTATGAATGGCATTCCACACAGGAGACCCATTATAGCCGGTGTATCTCTCTAGTACAGTTTTTAAGTCTACTGCGATATGTGTCTGCCCTTTTGTATTTTCAGTCATCTTTATTTTCTCTCCTATTTCTTCTCTGAACGAGTTCAGCCTGTTCTCGGCTGGTCTCTTTTCTTCCTTCTTCTTATATGTTATTTCACATGAAGCGCCGCACTCTTTCAATTGCTTTCTAATATATTCTGGGCATTCATTATCTATGCTCACCTCAATTCTAGAAAACTCATTTATTGTGCAGAGAATTGACACATTCTTCCTTATTTCTACATTGCTGTACTGCTGTTGTATTACAGCCATTACTTCATATGACAGAAAAAAGACAATGCTCCAGAGAGCTCTCTTCATAATCATAAAAAACAAATCATTCATTTATTTAAGGAAAACAAGTAAAAGACCTTCTATTAACACAATGAAAAATAAGAAGTACATCTTTCGCTTCTTAATCAGTATTTCATGCTCGTTTGATATTAAAAAATGCTTCAGCGACCTTCCTAAAAAGAGGGAAAATGAAGCTATTAGCAGAAGTGATGATAATTTTGATAAAATAATTGGGAAAACCTTTGACAGAATTTTTGTATACATGATTGTAACATATTTATACCCAATAAATGCTATGATATCAGAAATACTCAGAGATGTACAATCGAAAAAGAAACTTGCGGCTTTAATTATGGCACTTTCTAACAGCCCTAAAAACAGCGACTTAGTACTTATCTTTCCTAGAGTTTCTGGACTAAATTTGCCTTGAACCTCCATTTCGCACGCCACAAATAAAATATATGTTATAATGGCCATGACTGGTATGTACATATCTGGGTCACTAATTGACACACCACACACATCTCTATCGGTTGTACACTGCCACTGTTCTCCGCTGTACGGATACACTATCAAGAACAATTTTCTTAGTAAGTATGAATTGTCTATCTGAAAGTATCTACGGACATACTCAAACCTGCTCAGAGAAACCGCCCGGTTAATATATGAACTGCCCAGTGTTAGTGCATGTTTCTGCATGTCTATTTGGAGTGAATGTGACATTAATTTTTTGCTGAAGTAAATTTAAATTTAATTCATTCTCCGATAGAACTCTCGCACTTTCTTTCGAAAACGTTCAAAATAAACAGCCTCACATGCAGTCACTCTATTGAACGCATCCGCAATGAATGCATCATTCCTATACGACCCAAATAATCTAACCCATTCGTTTTTCTCTAAGTTATTCGGCTTGGTAAATAGAACAGAAATTGTTTTATTTGTGCACTCTACCTGTACATTTGGAGTGATTTCTGCTACTCTTCCTAAAATAGCCGTTCGTTTGTTTTCCTTACAGGAATGTGGATATACCATTTATAATTAAAAATAACAAGAATTTACAGTTTGACATAAATGAAAAATAAACTATCTGCTGCATTAGAAATGAAAGAGAAACGAGACGGCGCGCCCCGTGAAAATATGCCTAGTTGTATTGTTAGTAGGTCTATAAAGCAAAAGATAAGAAGACTTTTTAGTAATGAGGTACTGGCTGAAGAAGAATTGCAGTATCTTTTGAAAATTAAACCTATCTGGCCAATAGTTAGAGCGTATATACTTATAAACCAAGATAGGTATGATTTTCTAAATCTATTGGATGCGATATGGGAATAAATAATTGGTGTGTTGAAAAGTACTGTATAAGAATCAAACAGAAGCGATTTGATATGAAAAATATTCATTTGATTGTGTATGTACTATTAGTACAATTTGTATCTAGTGAGCTGTTAGAACCAATTTACTATAAGAATAATTCAGACACAAATAATTTTTTAAATGCTACAACTGCACAAGGCATTCATAGAAAAATAGAAGAAAGAGGAGAATCAACAAATTCTATTTATAGAAATGGTGTGCTACGGCTTAGTAATTTATTCAATGCATTTTCTGTTAAGATAAGACTAAATGATCTATCTGCAAACATGAACACAAACATGTCTGTATTTAGGAATTGGCAGAAAATAACTATTGTAGGTGAAGATAGTGCACTTTCTCAAATTAATAAGCCAGAATTAAAGAATTCTAATTATTATTTGCAGAATATAGAAACAGCTAAAAAATTAGAAAACCTTCTAACCCTTCTATCATCTAATAATAATTTATTTGAGATAGAACTTAAGAATCTTCAACTGGCATATCTACCTACATCGATTGAAAAGATCAAGTCACTGAGGATTTTAAAGTTTGAAAACATAAATTATCAATGGATTAGTACAAGAACAACCGATTTGATCCTTTCCAAGAAAGAAACAAGAAGCTCTAATCTTATTTTTTGTTTAAAGTATATTCAATCGCTGAAGCATATTGTGTTCACTGACTGTACAATAAAAAATTACCAAGAAGATGAAGAGATGCATGATGGCATAAAAAACAGCTTGGCCAGAATAAATTTTGTACGTATAGACCTAAACTTTATAAATGAATTTATGTGGTACTACTGCGAAAATCAAACGGATAAAAAATTAACTATAGAAATAGCAAGCCCTCTACAGCTAAACTCAAATATATTCTTAGATATAGAGGAAGTGAACTCATCTATAAATGAATTGATCTTAACAGAGTTTGATATTCAGTACACAAATAATGTAGTGTTCTCAAATCTAGGCAAATTACAAAAATTCACATTAATTAGCCCACCATATAATGAACGCGTATATTATTCCGATGAAAAAAACAATTGCATTGATTTTTGGAAAAATCTATTTAATAAGCTCCCAGAAATAACAATACCATTGAATATAGCTCTACTTTTAGAAGATTTTCCTATTAAATCTATGCCCAGATTAACCATTATAGATAATAGTAGGAAATTTAAAATCGCACTAGAAATTATAAAGAAATCCCATCTTTCCTTAAGACTTTCTACCAATGTATCAGAAGATTTTTTTATCGATGTAATCACGGCAAACCATTCAATTTATAAATTGGTTTCTGAGTGTACGCAGATTTCTTTTATGATAGAAGAGTATGTTGGCCCAATTGAGGATATTCTTATGTTTATTCTTAACAGTGCGCATGAAAATACAATTATAAACATCAATTTTATAATATTCTCGTACGTCTATGTACAAAATTTTAGTAATGCTCTAGAAATAATAAACACCAATAAAATAACCGTAAAGCTATCAAACTTGAACATACAAATGTTCTTGTCGCTACTGACCAAAGAAGAAATTAGTCAAATCACATTTACTGGGGGTGCTCTTACAATTAATCCTGTAAATACACCTTAGTTTAACAGAGAATAAAATTTTTAGTCTAAATATTACTTCTTTCTTTGCGTTACTTCAGATTATAAACTATAGTTTTTGCTCTGTTAACTATTCTGCAGTACACTAGTATTAAAATTTTCATATCTAAATAATTATTTTTGTTTAGAACACTTTCCTATTTTATTTTTAATGGAATCTGATAGACAAGAGTACAAATTACCTGCAGTACAATCTATAGCCTCCCTAGATACTCTTAGAATAGCTTGGATGGTGTATAGACCAGCCCAAAAATTACTTAGAAATTATTGTGTTTATGGCATCTGATAGCACATTAAGTATCTCCTCGGCCTCTTCTCTGTAATTCTTCTTTACTTCATCTCTTTGAATATTTATGCACATTGTTTCTTGATCAATATCTCCCTTTATCTTTTCATCAAGAATCATTCTTCTAATCCTGTCCTCAATCACTTCGATACTAAAGTTAAGAATGTTTCCTATGTGCTCTATGTTTATGTTGGAATATGGCTCTATTATTTTAAGAATATTGGCATCAATTAATGAATCGCACAGCGATATTAAATGGTTCATTAAGAATTCATCTGCTTCAATCATTGTCATGTTTTTGTCTATTATATCCTTACACTGCCGTAAGTCCCTGTTTATTACACACTTTCCAATTGAGCTTAGCATATTTATGCACTGATCATTTTTGCTAACGCTGCTTGGTACTTTGTTCTGTAGTAGAGAAGGTATCTCAGCTGATTTATTGTCGAGTATTTTAACTAAAATTAAATACCTACAACACTGCGCAGTCATTTCTTTATCACCTGCCAGAGAAAACCCATCCATTGCTTCAATTATGTACCCCGCACTAATAGAGTATTCTTTTTCATCTGCTGCATATACCCCAGAGAGCAGGTCTATTTTTGCCTGTAAGAAAGATGGACAATATACGAACGTGGCAGTTGATTTAGAGAGAGTTAATGCTGACTTTGCTTTGGAAATGTTCTTTAGCGCATAAAATACCTTACTTTCTAGGTAAAATAGCTTTACAAGCCCTAGTTTGTCGTCTGCCTTTTTCAGCAATTTTACCGTTGTTCTTATTAAATTCAATGCTCCCTCGTAGTCCTTCATTAAAAAAAAGTCCTTCAATCTTTCTTATGTCAAAGTCTATTTTAAGAAGATTTCTCTTGTGGGCTTCTGCCCATTGAATTAGTCGGTTATATATACGTATTCTCTCTTCTATCTCTGTACTGCTCTTTTCTATCCCATCTAAGGATTTCTTTAAGAGAATTGCGATAGATGGTTTTGATATCTTAGAGGTGTTTGCAACTGTATCAAACAGAAGGTCTGTTCTGGCAGTGTCACCCTGTGAAATAGAATTTAATATCTCCCTGCTCAATAATTCTACTGCTTTTGTTCCCTTTAAATTCTCCTCTAATGCGCTAATGTCCATACAAATAAAAAAACAAGAATATAAATAGACTAAATAATAAATAAATGACTATTGCCTCTGGAAATCTCCTTAATAGGTATATTATACACGTATGGTAATAATCAATTAAACATACATTGTTTATCTGATTATTTCATAGTATTTGTCCTCTGCTGTTAAAAGTATGTATTTGCTGTTTTATTTATGATATGCCTGTAAATCTATTATTATTGCATAAATATATAATCTGAGAGTTTACTCATCTGCCTTTCTAACAAATGAAGCAAGGAAAAAGCCTTTTGTTCCTGTCTCTTCATTGCATCTTATCACATTTTCGCTGAATTCATAGCCCTCTACTCCTCGCATATTCCAAAGAGGAAGTGCTTTCTCTAGAACAAAGCCTGGACACGCGTCAAGAACTTGCTTAACCACAGCTTCATTTTCCTCTTCATATATAGAGCATGTGGAGTATACAACTTTCTTTACCTTTGGGTAGCTCAGTGCTTTTAACAGAATTTTCACTTGGAATGCACTTAGCTTGTTTAACCTTTCGTGGTCTTTCTCCTCTCCTGGGTGTATTCCAGAGCCACTGCATGATGGATCGACCAAAATGTACTCTGCCTGGAATACTTCCTCTGCCTCTTTATTTATTCCCAAAAAGTCTGCATTCATTGTTATGACATTTTCTGCCCCGGACTTCTCTATCATCTCTCTAAGTATTTTGTATCTTTCGGTGTCTTTCTCTACTGCATATATTGTGCTTGTAGGAGAAAGCATTGCTAAGTGCGTGGTTTTATTCCCTGGAGCTGAACAGGCATCTATCACTACGCTGTTCTTAGCCGGCTTTAAAACATACGCAGGAAGGCAGCTTGATAAGTCTTGTATAAAAAACAGCCCATCCTGATAGCTCTTTAGCTTACTCCAATTTACTTTTTCTAATACCTTGTACACATTGGGGATAATAGTGCGCTCTATTGCCAGCGAGGATATAGCAGACTCGTCTGCCTTGATTGTGTTTATTCGCAGATAGGCAGGCGTGGTGTCCTCCTGCTTCTTCTCTTTCTCAACAATTCCAAGCGACTTGTATACCTCTTTTACTTTTTTTATTAATTTTTTATTAAACTGCGTTGCTTCCCTCTTATTTCCGTATAAAATTTCATAGCATAGAACAATTGCATGCCATTTACTCCGAATTTCAAAGTCCAGTGCGTTTACTATACGTGACAGTACATCAAATCTTCTTAATATACTGCTAAGCACTGCCATGTATTTTGTGGGCATTTCTGTCTTATAACACGCAGTTTTTATTCCCATTCTCTTCTCCTTAACATCTCGCAGCATTCTACCACATCTTTCATAGAACTTCTTAGTCTCCATATAAAAAATTTTATTGTACTCTCTTTATATGGAATCAGATACGCCTATCGTATTTTTGCATAATTCTTTGGGTATTCTATATTCCACCCCAATTAACAATAAGAATAACCCAAATTATTCTACTATAATGACTCAAGTAACTAGAATAATCGAAAAACACAATTATTTCATATGAAATTTGTCTAATTATATTTGTGCTTCTTTTACTAAGACATACTGCATAGCCAGCAATATAGCCTCTGTTTTTACTACTACATAGTATATAATAAATCCATATTTTCTGATTTTATTTCTTTATACCTCTGTACTGATTGTTTTTACGTTTTAAATTATACAGTAACTGGCTATAAGTGTTAGTACTATCAGATTGATATTCTAGTATTGTTATATCCAGTAACTGTTTAAATATAAGTAAATATTCTCTTATTTCTCCATGTTTTAATTAAAATATGTTTGTGCTACTATAATTATAAATACGCACTAAGTCATTTTATTGTATTTCTGATTTTAGCACGCCTTTCCACTAGAAGCAGCTTAGAATATTTAAGATATTTCAGAGAATTATTATAAATACTTGAAAATATAAAAATAGTACTTTGAGTTAAAACAAATATTTATTTATGCGTACACATTTTATTTATTTAATTTATTCAAATCCTTCCTTGCCTCTTCTTCTGTTATATTCTCTAGTAGCACAGACTTAGCGCGAGACTTTAGCCCAGCTATTATCTTTATAGTACTTCTAGGCCTTCTAAATATCTCATGGAAGGTTTCTATAACTTCTTTATTTGCTCTATTTTCTATTGCCATTTCTGTCAGTGAAATGTATAAAATATCATTTGCCCATTCCACCATAAAAAACTTACATTTGGGTTTTACCTCACAGCTTATTACTACACCAGTCTCTGCCACCCGCATAAAATTAAATTTATGTGAAAATATAAATATTCCTATGTCTTTATTTATGCTATGCACAGCCATAGAAAAATGGATAAATAATTCTTTAATACACTGTCATTCGTTATAAACACATTTATGATTTCGGGTTATATCAAGCTGTAGTATTTTCAGTGGACTTCTTTTCATGCATGTTCATGTGAATGGCAAGTCTTCTTTTATCTACAAATGTTTTATCACATATATGGCAAGTATGTATTGGCTTGACGGGCTCTGATGCAACCTTTGGCTTTGTTTCTGTTGACCACCCTTTTAACTTTAACTTACTTCCCCCAACTGTACGAATTACCACATCACTTTCTATATAGTGCCGAATGGATACCCCTTTTAACTGCTCTACTGCTTCTTTCTGCATTTGTATTACTGCTGAACCTTCTGTTGGTTTTTGGCCCTCGCCCTTTCTTTTGTCTTCCATCTCAATAGTGGCTTCTTTCATTAAAAACTTTTCGGATACGGTATAGAAAACATCCATTTCTTTTTATTGCATACAAAAATCGGGTCAGTTCGGGTTATATATTATATTTATAATTTCATATATACATATTACTATTAGAAATAAAAAACACGCATGAATTAATTCTTTCATTTATTAAATTTCCTAGAAAATATGTTTCTTCCAGGCCTGTACATACAAAAATAGCACCAAATATTAGACAGAAAATATTCGGAAATAGATTGATGGAGTATGCTGGGCTCATCTGTATTTAGTTTAGACTTCCACTTTGAAATAGCCTTCTATTAAACAGATTCAATCCAAACTCATATATTACCATTTCTGTTCCAATGTATAGCTTTCTACCATCCTCTCCAAAGGACAGGCCAGAAATGTGTTTGTCGCCTGTTGTTCCTGTGACCGCAATACTCTGCCTTTTGCTAAAGTCTCTTATATCTACTACTGTAAAATGTGATACATGCTCTGTAAACACCAGAAGGTCCATTGAACTGTCTGGGCAGAATTTAACATTACGGCAGGCGCCCTTTACCAGTGATCCTTGTACAGACCGGATTGCTTGTATTTTCTCGTTCATATTACGTATGTCGTACACACAGACATATCCATCCTGCGTGCTTGCTGCTAAATATACTCCAGATGGACTCCATGAAACCTTGAAAGATGCATCGTTCATTGCTTTCATTTTTTTGATAAGCGGATATTTTTCTCTTCCTACTGTGTATATAGACACTTCATTTGAATCGCCAACTGTTGCTAGAATTCGGCCACTTGCATTAACAGAACAATTATTTACCGGAGAGTCGTGTTCTATTATAGAGCATCTTCTCATATTATCGATAGAGTACTCCTTTACTGTCTCATCATTATTACAGACTAATATTCTTTTGTCGCCAAAATGCGAGAATATTTCTAGCCCATTGTTTATTGATCCGCCTGTTGTGATTTTTTTATCAGCTCCCGTTGCAATGTTCTTTATGTACAGCTGGCTTCTCTGCCCGCCAACTCCAACAATCTCATCATTATAGCAAATGGCTGTGGGATTAAATACTAAATTTCTTGAAATGGTATGTATTTTTTCTGATTTAGTGTTTAGGACATTAATGGAATTTGCATACACATAAACTACTTCATTTGGATTGTTTGTTCCTGATATCATATCTCTTAACTGCCAGTGATGTATGCTGGTTCTGACTTGATACTTTCTATATTCCTCACAAATAATGCCTTCACACTCTCTCAGTAATACCATAAACAAAATAGTAAATCACTCTATATTATGTAGATTAGACTATTCTAGACCGCTCTCTAAAATAAATATTGAATCACCTTAATTAACTTCTTCCTCCACTGTTAGTAGATAGGCATACACCATCACAATTGTCTATGGCATTCATACTCTATTAATGCATTATAGACAGTTTAGATTTATATCAGGCTATACCCGAAATCTTCAATCTTATAATAGACACACTAGTATAAATAGTGAATGTCAGTGCATTACATCAGAATATGCCACTAGAACAATAGCTTAAACCATAACTTGATTTTTATGCACTGCATTCTATATATAGTACACCAAATAACCATAAATCCATTGTAAGCATGTAATATGTCGTTTCTAGTGAAGAACAAATAACAGAGAATGTACAGAGATATTATAAGCACAAAAGAGCCATTCATGATTCATGCTCCTTTGAATTACCACACAATCGATCTAGAATTAAATACATATTGTTGTTTTTCTTTTATTTATGCAGTCTGCCATTAAAAAAGAAATTGGGGATACAGTCACACAGAAGAGTCTTGAGGATTTCTTCAAAGACCTCTTTCCAGTCGGTGACTCATCAAATAGTGCGCAGATACTCATAAATTCTTTAACCGACAAATCACCAGAAGGGCTGTATGAACTAATTCTTAAGTGCAGAAACAATAAGACCGATTTTGCTAAATGGATATATAAATGTATTAAAATCTCTAATCCTACCACAGAAACGAGCCAGAGTGAAATATCCCAAAGCACTCTAAAAAATTCAAAAATATCCACTAAAAATATTTCTGAATATTTATCGGAAATTACCGCAATATCGCCAGCAAAACCAATGGAGGTGCCAGGCTCAGAAGAAGAATTTATTAATTTCTGCTTATCTTCAAAGGAATTCCAAAAATCCTGGAATGTTTTAAGATTGTCTTCTTTCTAACTTTGTCACAGAGATAAAACACTCTATTTATTCTATATTCTTCTATTTATTATGGCAATACGAGTCACTCCCGTTATATTTCTACTCGATATTTTTAACTCGTTGACTATGCCGATCCTGTTTATTTACTACTCTGCCCACGAAAGGCTTGGGGTCCATCCTAAAAATAGAGTGAAAATTATTGATCCTGTCAATATTTCATTGGCTGTAATGCTTACTTCATTTTATATGATGTGGTCTATTGGATGCCTGCTGGGCAGCTATTTTGGTGGCTATGAGGTGTTTATGGCACAAATGAGTTTGGCCTTTGAGAATCTGCTTACCATGGAAGTTATTATTGATGCATTCCAAAAGGCAATTAACTTCCTGGTGCTTGCAATGGCATCCTTTCAAATGGGCGCGCTAGGGCATAGAGAGTCTTTAATCCCCTGGGGAAGTACTTGTGCATCGATTGGTTTAATGCAAAGTATTGCGATGGCCGCAATGTTGGTTTTTTTTAAAGGCCTGTCTGGCTGGGTTATTCTATACGTATTTAGTGGACTTGTTTCATTAAGCATTAGTATTTTTAGCCTTCTCACTATTTTCATGATTAAGCAGAACAAGATGCCCGAGAATATATCTGGATACCTCTCTAACCAGATGATTCGCTGGAATGTTAACATATGCTATATGTCATTGGTAGCAGGAGTACTTGATCTTAGCTATAAAGCAGTGTTTGTCCTTATGGAGATTAATGTGCTGGGAAAGAATCAGTTATTTTCAGATATTTTCTCATTAGCTAAAACAGCATCAGTATTTATTACTGTTATATCCGTATATACATCTAGAGTACCCAATTCAAAATCATACAGTGTGCAGTCATATAGCTAGGCACACATAATATGGTATATTAGTAAATCTTGAATTAGCCCCAAATGCCAGAAATAAATTGAATTAATTATTCATAAATAAATTAACTATGGATTGTGTTATGAATGAAGTGACCGAGTTAAAAAGGTTTTTAGATGATTTAAATGGAAAGTATGAAGGAATTCGAATATTTATAGGGAATAATTCATTAGCTGCCTTTAAATTTATCAGTTCAATGCAGGACTTCTCATACAGAAGATTTGGCAGGAATATTTTTGAATTCTACGGAATGGAAAGGCCATCTGATCGTGCTAGTAGGAGCAAGTATCTAGACGGTCTTACAGGGTATATTGAGTTATTTGATGAGTCGCCAGAGAATAGTTTTAAATCTCCGAAAGTTATATGCCAGGGCGCAGTTCACTTTGATTGCCAATTTGTATGGCCGGGATGGGGGCACTCTTCTGAAGATCCAAGCTTTCCCAGGGAGTGTAAGAAGAATGGATTGATATTCATAGGGCCAAGCGAGCATGCAATGGATCTTCTTGGCAGTAAAATATCTGCAAACAAACTAGCTGATAGTTCTGGCATACCAAGTATTCCATGGATAGAGGTGGCGGAGCTATCAAAAGTCCAAGAGTTCTGCAGAAAAACAGGATTCCCATTATGGTAAAATCACCTGAGGGCGGCGGTGGAAAAGGCATCCGAATTATAGAGTCTGAAGATGAATTGTTGCAGGCAATTGCAACAGTACAGGATGAAACAGGAAGCAAAGCAGTTTTTGTCACAAAGTACTTGAGAAGAATTAAGCACATAGAAATACAGGTAGTTGCGGATAAAGCGGGCAATTATGAGGTAGTATCTACTAGAGACTGCACTATACAGAGAAGAAACCAAAAATTAATAGAAGAGGGACCGTCCATTATAGACACTGCAAAAGAAAAGAAAATAGCAGAAATGGCAGGCAAGCTAGTAAATGCGGCAGAGTACCATAATGCGTGCACTGTGGAGTTTGTTTTGGATTTAGACACTGACGACATGTTCTTTTTAGAGTGCAATCCAAGATTGCAAGTAGAGCATACAGTGACAGATTTATTAACAGATAATAATTTGTGCAGTATACAGTGGTTAATATCATGTGGGGCAACAATTCCTAGGCTAAAAGAGCGCGGTATACTAAAAGAATTCAGAGGGCATAGGCATGTGGTGGGCGCTAGAGTCATTGCGGAGTCAGCAGAGTGCAAGTTTATTCCCAGTAGTGGAAAGCTTTCTGTTTCTTCATCCTTTCAGTCTGGAACTGTTGGGTACTTTTCTGTGGACAGTGGTGCTATTACTCCATACAACGACTCACAATTTGGGCATGTGTTTGGGATAGGAGAGACCAGAGATGAGGCTATATCTGCTCTAAGAATGGCACTAAGCTCTGTGAAAATTACAGGCGAAGTAAAGCACCTGAACAACTTTCTTAGTGATCTTATTAATACCGATGAATTTAAAAATAGCCAACACACTACGCGCACTGCAGAAGTATTTCAAGAAGAATGGGTAAAATTATCTGGAATGCCTCCTTTCTTTATTCTTTCGTTCTGTGCTATATCTGCTGACCGTATGGGAAAGCCAGACACTCAAATGACCTTTCAAACAAACCAGCTGCAAATAACAGCAAAAATTCAGAAAGTTGACAGATATGTGTACGCAATTGAAATAAATGGCGGTATATCGGTTTTAGAAATACTCTGTCTGTTTGATGATAAATACAGAGTAAAAACCAGCGATAATGAGATAAAGGTAATATACTTCTCAAAGTCAAAGATGTATACAGAATTACACACCGAGGGAAAGACTGTTAGATTCACAGAAAATCTTGCAGGGAATAAAATACATGCGCCAGTGCCCGGGCGAATAGTAAAACTATTAAAGGAAGGGTCAGTGGAAAAGGATGAAGAATATTTGGAAATTGAAAGTATGAAGAATTTAATTAGAATAAAAGCACCAAAGGGAGGGGTGCTTGAGTATAAAGTACGGCCAGAAGAAATAGTTGAGATAGGAGATATTTTAGCAGAAATATCAGGCGGAGCATCAGATGCTGTTGTCTGTTATACTGAGCAGCTTGTATACAAAAATACCCAAAGAGATTTAACTCTGAATTTGTTTAAAGGGTATAACATACCAACAGAATTACAATCCTTTGACTTGAGTACGATGAACCAAGCAATAGAGGAATACACCAAGAGCACATATATACAAAATTCTGCGGCTGTAGTGTATATTATATCTTGTTTGGTTTATCTATTAGATGAAACGTCCGAAACTATTATTCAGTTTAAGAATGCACTGAATAGTCTTAAGCAGAAAGTTTCTAATAATAATGAACTGGATAGGACAGATGTATTCATTCATATTTATAAATTACAGCAGATTATATACAATGAAGAAATCAAAGAAGAAATTGGCCAATTTATCCAATTGAGTAAAGAAGAAACTATTAAAAACGCTGAGAGCATCAAAAATAACCAAATTTTACTAATAATGGCTGTGAATAGTGAGAAAGTAAAAATGGTTAATTTGTTAGGCATTTGGATAAAGAAGGTATTTAATAAGAGTGATATAGAGATGGCCATAGAAGAAGGCAATCCAACTGCAGGAGTAATAAAAATTGAAATAGGTAAGAATGCAGCAGATGTATTTTATCTAATAAAAATCGAGAATGCCCAGCATGATCCTATTATAAATACTGGGATAAATATTGCAGGGATCTCTGAGAAAGATATTCCTGGAATAATTGATCGAATACAGAAGAAGTGCACAGAGTTTACTTTAGTTCAGGTGAATGGATTATGTATAGAATACATAAAATATTCTGGAAGTATAAGATACAGCAATATTAATGTATTCTATACGCATACTGGTAGACTTCCTATGGCCATAGAAAACAATCCAGATAACTCATTCCAGTATGCTCTACTAGACAGAAAAGTATTTGTGCATTCGGCAGATGACAAAGTCATTATTTATTGTGTTCTCAGTAAGAATGACATTAAAAATAATTTAGACCAGATAGTGAATGAAACACTCTTTGGGTACAAACTATTTGGTGTATTAGGGCAACCACTAATTCTTTATATGCAAGTAATGGAAGAATTAGAATACTCTGATGAGATGGATTTCTACTTTAAAGAAGAAATACCAAATAAGTTTTACTGTGTGGATGATTATAACTGTACATGGCACATTATTGGATATTTTAATAATATGGGGCCATTTATACTAGACATACAAAGCAAGAAGGGATTTAGAGAAGTGGTTTTAACTGTTGATAAAAATCCAATATTTTATAGAATTGGTGATTTTGATATAAAAAACACAAAAAACAATGAATTATCTGATAATTTGTTTGTGCCCAGCCAGTACACTGAAGATATTCTATGTAGATCTCGTGCTAGAGCAAAGTCTCTAAATACAATTTGCATATACGATGCAGCGCTTTTGCTCAGTATTCTTATTAAGGAAGTATCTGGCGATCTGCGAATATTACCAATTGAAAATAAGAGAAATGCTGCCATGTTTGGGTGGAGATTCACTAATGAAATATTTGATTTTGTCTTTATAGGCAACGATATAACCGCGAAAAACGGAGCGTTTTCTATTGATGAGGACAATTACTTCACAGAGTGTGCCAATATATCAGTTTCCAACAGAATTCCCTTTATATACGTGTCAAGCAATTCTGGTGCAAAGATAGAAGTACTTGAAATGTTAAAACCAATGATAAAGTACGAAAATAATCTAAACATAATCTATATGGAAAAGAATATGTACGATTCACTCACAGACAAACAAGTCGTTGACGTCTCAGAAAGAGAAATTGAAGGAAGAAAAGTCTACGAAATAATAGAAATAATAGGGGTGTATGGAATGGGCGTTGAAAATCTCTCATACTCAGCACAAGTGGCTAAATCTATGGCCATTTTATATAAGGAAGTTCCTACACTAACCTATGCAACAGGAAGGGCTGTGGGCATTGGTGCGTATCTGGCAAGTATTGGAGGAAGAATAATTCAAAAGGAAGACTCTCCAATTATTCTTACGGGATATAATGCACTGAATAGTTTATTACAAAAAGAAATATATAAAAACAATTTAGACATTGGTGGTCCATCTATCTTAGAGAAGAATGGAGTGGTGCACAAAGCTGTAACAAGTGATTTAAGTGGACTGAATGAGGTACTCAAATGGCTTCAATACATCCAATCCTCAGATAAATCAAATAACGCTGCAGAAGATTTGCGGGAAGATACATATGATGAGCAAGTAGAGAGATTCACTGCAGAGGAGATAGTTAATTACATATCTGACACAGATGGGTTTACTGAGTATTTGAGCGGATGGGCACCAAATGTGCAAGTTGGTCGAACAAAAATACAAAATATTTCATGTGGTGTGATATTCCCCAGAACAGGAACTGTACATCAACTGCTCCCTGCGCCAGAGGCAACAAATAGAGACTTTTCACCAAGTGCTGTAGTACAAACTACATGGACAGAAAATGTACTTTTGTCTGAGTCAGCCAAAAAAATAGCACTAGCAATTAATGATTTCACACGGGAATCCATTCCTATCCTGATTCTTCTTAATTGGAAAGGATTTTCTGCTGGGCATTTGGATATGTTTAATGGCGTGCTGCAAAATGGTTCTGAGATAGTTAAAAGCATGGAAGGGTCATCTTCTAAAATATTCACATACTTGCCGCCATTCTCTGAGCTTAGAGGGGGCTCCTGGGTTGTGTTTGATAAAAAAATAGGTAATAAAATCCGATCTGCTGCACATCCCACGGCAAAAGGAAGCGTCATACACCCAGACGGGCTTTCAAAAATCAAGTGCAAGCAGACAGAGCTTGCATCTATTCTTAAATCTTCAAATATTCCATTTTCAAAGATTGATGCGTCTAAATTAGCCAAGAAGTTCTGTGCGCTGCATGATTCTTCTACAAGAATGATTAAAATGGATGTAATTGATGAAATTATACCTGTATTTAATTTGCGAGAATCTGTGGTTAAGTACTTCAGAGAATAAATCTGTGTACCATTGAATAATTTCATATATTGTATAATTTAGTTTATACATGGTGGTAAAATAATAAAATAGGGGCAATCCAAATGCATAAATTCATTTTATTTTTTCTATTCGCATATTAGCAGAGAAGGCCTCTACATTATTCTCTTCTAAGAAAATTCATATTTTTACTTTAACATTCCATAGACTAAAATTGCAGTAATATACTTATTGGTACGGATTACCGCTGTAGTAATTATTTACATAATTATAAATGTAGATAAAGCACATAGTTTTATAGAAGATGTGTAATAATTCATATAACAGTGTAATTTATTCTAAATATAGTTGGATATACTTGGCATATTTTGAATTATTTCTCCCATGTAGTCTCAAACTTACATAAGCTGTTGTTCATTTCCAGTTCAAATAAGTTCACTCTTTTCTTAGATGGGAAGAGTGGCTCACTTGTTTGAATTAGTTTGGAGTCTTCAATGGGGTCCCATTCTATTTTACCAATGGGCATTTCTACAAATCTTTCTAAGTGTCGCAGATTAAACATACTGCAAATAAAAAGGAGCATATTTAATGCAAATTTTTATGGTTCTGCAGCACATAAAGAGCATGTTTGGTATTGAAAGAGTTGAAGTATCTGGCAACTTATACTGTAATAAAGCACTAAAACTGTCAGATGCAAGTATAAACATAGTAAATGAAAAGAACTTGGAAATAGTTGGGGGAGATAAAAGATTAGATTTTTTGTTAGAGGATATTTCCTATATAGACTTTCATAAAACAGAAAGCCAGGAGCTGTCTGTGTATTTCTTTGTTAAAGAAGACAAATGGACATTTGTATTTAGAAAAAACCTGCCAAGAACGATTGTTCAGTTTTATGGAAAGCTAGTTTGTGTTCAATCTAAGATAAATGGCTGGGAGGTGCTTTATACAAACGACTGTGTTAGTCTTAAGCAGTATAATCAGATAACAGAGCAGTATGATTTATTAGATGGGTCTGTGAGTGTTAGACTGCTAAAGATAAAAAACAGCACTGTCCTTCGTGTATATAAAGAATACAATATAATTAGAAAAGGCGACTTAATTCAGAGCTATTCAGACTTCTATGTAGACCAAGAGACGCACAGCTTCTCATGGAGTACTTCTAATGGAAGTAATGAAATGGAGGTGTACAGGCTGATCTTTCCTAGTCTTCCGACCTTATTTGCTTTTGTTTCCTCTTTTGTTAGTGCAAACTCACCCGAAGAGGTTAGCTATTTAGAGAAAATGGAAATAGATAATTACCAGGAAGACATGGATAGCAGTGAAGAAGAGAGTGAGGAGGAAGAGGACAGTGAATCTTCTGATACAAAAATCATGTTGGAACGGAAAAAGACAAGTAAAAAGAAGTATGCGCAGGCAGCAGGAAATATATTTGGTGGGCGCGACAAGGAGAGAAATCGTGCGCTTGCAGTGAATGAAGCCAATACTTTTGTTTCCAGAGGTTCTGCTATTGGTATATTCAAGAATGAAGACGATGATCTTAGCTATAAAGGAACTATCCAGGCTATACTCAGAAAGGGAGAGAACGTAACACCAGATAAAATGATTGTAGCAAAAGACAACAATTCACTAATTGTGTCAGATCTAAACAAAAAGGACATGATGTACAAGATAGATCTGAACACAGAAAAGGTAGCAGAGTGCTGGGATACAAAAGATGAACTCAAAGACTTTTTCTCATCTGCAAAGGATGAAAGAGGGGCACCGCTCACACACGATTTTGTAGGAGTGTCAAAGAACAGACTTTTTAAAATTGACCCAAGGTCTGCTGGCTTAATAGAAGGTAAGTCTTACAGTACAAACACAAAGTTTACTTCAGGAGATTCCACCAGCAATGGATATTTTGCTCTAGGATCAGAGACAGGTGACATTCGTATGTATGACTCATTAGATAAAAGAGCAAAAACACTCCTGCCTGGTCTAGGTGATTCTGTCTTGGGAGTTTTTATATCACCAAGTGGTAAATACATGGTGGGTACATGTAAGTCCTACCTTATGCTAATTGTAACCGAGGCTGCAGGTGTATGTGGGTTTAAAAAGAGTCTAGGCCAGAATAAACCAGTTCCAAAGAAATTAATTGTGCGGCCAGAACATCTCCACTACTTCAATGGAGAGGTAAACTTCACAAATGCCAGTATAAGTACAGATAAAGATGAGAAATACGTATAGTCAGTACTGGAGAATGGATACTTGTATGGGACATGGAAAAAGTCTTGAAAGGCCATGTCTTCAACTATCAAATTAAGAGAAATGATTATAAAGTTGTTTCAAATAGTTTCATTCCCGGAGATAGCAACAAAATTGTTGTTGCTATGGATGATGAAATGGCAATGATCAACAGACTCTCTCTTAAGAAGCCAAAGAACCCAAATAAATAAATGCCAATTTTCAGATTTTACTTTTATTCTATATGCTATGTTTATTATAGCTAATCTTTACATGAAAATGCAAAATAACCCATAAACACATTTTATATAAGATATATTCTTTAAATAAGACAACCTCAAGTTATATTTGTGTTTTACTGTGGCATTATACTCGATGTGTTATATGCAATGTATAAAAACTCTTGGTAATACCTATTAAACAGTGATAGAAATAGAAAAAATATTAGAAGAAAAGGAAATGAGCAAAAAAGGAAAAGGACAGAAAAGGAAAGATATAACCCTAAGTGGTAAATGAATTAATATAAGAAAATGAATATATATGTAAAGGACTAAAACGAATTTAATATATAATCCAAAATACTCAGCAATTTACATGTGCTATAAACAATTAAACTATATCCACATGTGCAATCGCTATATTAAGTCATAAACCGCATGTGAATAAGTCCTATTTACAAATTAAATGTAAATTATTGCATTTTTAGGAAACATCCCTGTATAACCCCGTATAGTTACATAATTACTAGAAAAGCACAATTCCCGGCAAAAAAGAAATTTACCCTTTATGGATTAATTACCTTTTAATTTCATTTATGTAATTTTCTATTTAAAATATAAAATGGAGGAGACGTTATTTACATTTGTAATAATGATACTAACAACAACAATCACGTACACACATTTAAAAAGATGCATGGGCGTAAAGAGGCAGCAAAGACCATATTATAAGCGACAAAGACCTTCTCCTCTTTTTAACCATCGCGCATACTTAAATGAATGCATAAAATTGGCATAAACCTATGGAATAACAAATAAAATATATAGAATATAAAACTGAAATTACCAAGAATCCCTGTGAAAACAAATAAAATTTTATTATAGAATTTTCGAATATTTAGTAATATTTATTCTGTAGTATATGCAGTAAATGTATAATTATACAAAGTATTCCAGTGTAGGTGATGATCTGCTGTATCTTCCCATATCGCAGACAGAATGCACTTTGCTATTCCTTTAGCTTCTTTTCTTCTGTTACCTGCTATATCTTTCACTGCATAATATATCCATCCTTCATTCGGTAGTTTTTTGCATGTTATGCCTATGGCCTTGTAAATATGTGGGGGTGTTCCTTTTCCTATTTCCTCTATATTTTTACAAAGCGGAATTTCTAGTTCTTTATACTCTTTATTTCGCATTACAATAAGAAGAAGAATTAGCGGAATTGGGTCTAATATCCTGACTGTGCGTGGGTAGATGGTTTCTACTCTTTCCACTGTGCTTTTTAGTAGATTTATAATTTGTTCTTTAAGAGCATTCTGCGGTTCTTCTGATAGATCTTTTAGAAGACAGAATAACTGTTTGCTCTTTTTTTCTGAAAATAGCAGCCACTCCTTGTCATCCTGCATAGAAAGTTTTTTGCTTGAATTGAAAAGAATGGAGGAAGAGAAATACTCCAGACAAATAAAACTATTTGGGCATGAAGCTCAGAAAAGAATCAAAGAGTCACATATCCACATAAAAGGAAATGCAAAGGAAACAATGGTAGATTGCATGGTAAGGCTTTTGTTGCAAATAGGAGCAAATGTTTGCCGGGACAGTATGTGCACTGCAGAACCAACATGGGTGTTTATGTGCGATTTAGATAAAGAGTACATAGAAAATGAAAATACTTACTGTAATAATAAGAATATTCTTTATATATCAACTAAGACACTTTCTATGTCAAGAGCATATACAGAACCTAAAAAATCCGAAGTTTCCTGTATAGAACACATTGAGATATATTTAAACATATTAGGTGGCATGGCTGTGCAAGAATATGTTAAATCGGTTGCTGGTGTTAAGTCTGTTGAACAATGGTCGTTAGACCCTTCTACTTTTGAAAACTAGCCATATTCAGAAAGATATAGTTTAAATGCGATCTTTCATATAATAAATTAGCTATAGATAATCTGAAAATATAAACAGGATATGTTTATTCCTTTAATCTGCTTGACATACCCACAAGGAGTCACGCCACCGCCGCCCTGCTACATAGCCAAGAGAGAAGAGATTGAAAGGGGAGAGCTCTTTATTCTCTTTAGGAAGCAGCCCAATCCTGCGCGGACATGGAGTCCCGGGCGCAGTTGTGTTAGGCTTGGCGCTGAAGTTAAGCCATCGAGGCTTCCCTGAGTCTCTCTCTACATTGTGGGAAGAACTCCAGTTAAATAGTCGGAAGTTGATATACTGATTCAGAGATCTCGGCCTTTGCTTTGGCGGGATCACCACACGAGCTGGCACGCAGAAGGATTGTCCTCGGGGAGTCACGTCTGAGTGGCGGCGTCACCACAGTTATAGTAAATATTATACTAAATATCTATTAAATCATTTATCAACATTATATATCGTAATATAAAAATGATTTATTAATAAATATAGTTGTATATTCTTTATGTATATTTGTGACAAATTACCTCTTTTCATCTACAAGCACACCAGAGATGATTAATTTCGCAATTAAAGTAGTAATCTAGTTAGATTATTTGAGGTTATATTTTAGTTTCATATGTTTGCTATGTGTTTTTATTATTTGTTTTCTATTTTATTTTTATTTTTATACGCACAACGATAATCAAAGTACATAGATACCCATACAATTTGTTATTCTGGCAACAAATTGTAGTACTCACACATGCCACCACAAAAAGCAAGTGATATTAATAAAGCCTGCACACTGGAGACTTTTCTCGATTTATACCGCTTTGATCGGATTGATATATATTCCTAGTAGGATATGCCATATATGCAAGTTATATCACAGTGATTCTCTTGATTATATTATGGATAGGTATCTAATAATAACAGTAACTGGTCAGTAGAGCATTTTTCTTAATGGATTGTATATATTCATTTTACATATTATATCATTCTGTAGGATACGAAATATATCTAAATAATCTTTTTTATTACAAATCAAAAGAACATAAAGATATGAGATGTGTGTCACATAAATATTTCAAATATATTGAAAAAAGATAAATATGAATAGAAATTCTTTCATTAACCACCAGCTCCCAACACATATAAAAACAATAGGACTAATAAAGAAGAATAATAATATAGACCTAGAAGAAATGCAAAAAAAGTCTCCCACTAGAAACACAGAATGCGTGCCTAGTGAGAAACAAAAAACAAACTTTTTATCTAATACCTCTGTGCCATCTAGTGTGCACCAAGAAGAAAACACTAAAATGCCTTATAGTCCAAATGGCAATGTGAAATATCCTGTTTATAATACAATTGCCTCAAAAAACATAGATAATATCTATGACACGCCTGAGCATCAAGAAATTAGTTCTTTTGAAGACAATAATTCCAATGAGCATGTTATTGTAGATCATCCCATCCCGCAAGAAGAAAGCAGCATACTCCTTTTAGAAAATGAGAGTGCTGTTGCTAATAAGGATAGTGAGCAGCAAAATAATAGGGAACAAACATTTCGGCTAGTTTTTTTATATAGCAGAACAAATTACATTATTATTCACTTTAAAAGGGTATTTGGCATGATAAATAATCCCAAAGTATGCTTCTTTGGCATTTCACTCCTTCTTATACTTACTATGTATATTGTCAGATTAGTGTCTATGAACTCCTTCCATGAGTTGGCATATAAAGCAAAGCCCACGGATGGCACTGTTTACAACAAAGTAGTTAAGTATATACAGGTGGCAGACTTTCTACTTACATCCATAATGTACTTTGTTGTTTTTGGTATTCGAAATTATAGATTCGTGATAGAAATCTTTAAGTGGGTAATTATAGTTGCAAATGTTATATTTATAGGCCTTTCTCTGTACTGGCTGAACATTGATTTAGACATTTTGCTGCACATAGGTTCTATTATAAAAGCCCTCTATGACATATCTTGTATTTTTGTTATAAATACAATATTTGGGTATGTTGTTAGGCGCAATGTGCTGATATACCAAACAGTTGTGTTTTTCTCTATAAACTATATGCTATTCCTCTGTGGCAGTTACCAATTCTGGAAAATAACTAGAGAAGATGAAAATGAAATTCTTCAAAAAATAGTAAATTATATATCTGAGGCATCATCTAGCGCACTTAATAGTGGGAAGCTATGGGCAGCAGAAAATAGTCTTGTAGATAAAAGCACAACAAAGATGTATGCACAAACCGTAGATAAGTATATATATATTATAACAACGTATAAGATAGTACTATGTATCTCATCTGTTCTGTTTATAACATGCTATAGAGTGCTTTTACAAATAAAAAGTAAGAACAATGAAATAGATAACTCAGAAAAGAAATTCAATATTAGTTTAGTTAGAACCACTGGCGCTCTTTTATGTATAGAATTTCTCAAAACCATGTCCTGGTATGTGATTCTAAATATTTTATTGCTAAGGATAAAAAACGTATTAGATGCTTTTTAATTATGGATAAACCCTAAAATATTATTTCTACAATTTTAAAATAAACTCTTCATTTAAAAATATTTATTATAATAAGTGAATGTACACTTTGGATATTCTCTAAACATTATATTTGTACTGAAAAATTAATTATATCTAAGAAATATAATACAAAAAACCCAAGAGAACCTGTGGAGATTAAGTAAATTACATTGTATAAAACATAGGAGATACATGTGTCTCAGCAGCCAATAGAACTAACTTGTTACAGCTTCTTTATGGATATGAGTGGCAGGATATAAAATAGAGAGGATCAGTGCATGGCACTATCAGAACAACAAAGCGAGTTCCCAATGCTTATATTAATAGACTATTTTCTATTATAAAAAAATTACAGTTAATATAACCCGAATAACCCGAATAAATTGTATTTTTATTGAATTTAAAAATAAATTATTTTAAGTAGCTCTTAAATTAGAATAATAGAAAATTATTCATAACTTCTTTTGCTTCAGTGGGATATATCATGAATATACTAAGAATAATTATATAAACAATTATAATTATTGCTACAGCAATCTTTAATATTTTAGTAGTCCAGAAATTTATAGCTTCTTTTTCATTAAGTTTTTGTTCATTCCTGCTTTCTGGTTCTATTTCATCTTCAGTTTTTAGAGCATTATTTATAAATATGCTAGTGTTTTTATAGACTTATTAACTGCAGACATTGTTAAGATAGAGAAGAGAGTGGAAGGGGAAAGCTCTTCATGCATTTAGGATTCGGTCTAAGCGTGTACAGACTCGGAGTCCAAGAGCACAGTTATGTTAGACCTGGTGCTGAAGTTAAGCCGTCGATGCTTTCCTGAGTCTCCTCTTAAGTTGAGAAAATAACTCGGGTTAAATAGTCGAAAGTTAATCTACTGATTTGTGATTTTAGCCCTTTTTGTGGTGAGATCATCATGAAAGATGGCACACTAATGAATCGTCCTCGATAGCTCATGCCTAAGTGGTGGTATTGCCACAATTATTCGTTACGCATTGATCATTAATATTCATTCAATGCACTATAACATAATCTGAAATAGTCTGAAGTGTCCATTATAAATATAACTAGATCATAAAATATTCTTATTACAAGCTACATAATAGATTAATACTCATTTCTGTTTATAGACTAATTCATAATAACCTAAAATTATAATTTTATACATAGTGTATTAAAATATAGAATAATAATATGTCAGAATATTCTTGTATGTATAAAAATACAAAAAGCTAGAAGTATATAATATTTAGTAATTAAAATAATTTTAAGAAATGCGAAGAGCCACAATGGCAGGAATGCCAGCAAGAAATTCACTTTCTTCGGAAATAAGTAGATTAACACTAAGTGAAGACCCCAGAAGAAAACAAAGGAATCCAAGAGAAAAAACCCATCAGGAAGAGAATATAAATATTATCATAAACTTTCTCTCATCCACTGAGTATGACAGGCCCTTTTCTCATGCTCTGTTAAGTAATCCATCGTCGAAAGACTTTCAATCTATTTTTAGGCACATTCAGTCTTTTATTGATCCAACTGCAGAGTTTACAAAGAGAATTGAAGATGAAGCGCCTTTATTTCTGCGAGCAATAAAGTATCCGTACATTTCTGAGATAAATAGAAGTCAGCTTATAGCAATAACACCGCATACATGGCCGGTGCTATTGTCTATGCTTGGCTGGCTGGTGAAGACTGTTAATAGTGTATATGAGCTAATGGACGTTCCATCAATTGAAGAAGAGTCTAAAAGCATTTTCTATGAGTTTTTGTACAAAGAGTATTCAAACTACATGGAAGGAAGGGACAGCAATGATCTGGAAGAGGCAGTAGAAAGAGAAATAGCACAAAAAAACAAGGAAAGAATAAAAATAGCAGAAGAGAAAAAAGAGCATCTAAAAAGGCTTAAAGCTGAAATAAAGAATGAAACATTCAATGATTTGGAAGAGGTAATAGAAAAGCAGAAGCAAACACAAATTGACCTAGAGAAAATCACAAATCTGCGAAAGTCACAGGAGATAAAGAACAAAAATTATAAAAAGGCGCTGGAAGAAACTGTAAAGGCATATACAAAGCTAAAGGAAGATGCAGATAGGATTCTTCAGAAAAAGCAAGAGCTAGAGGAGGAAATAAAGATGCAGCCAATAAAGCCGGAGCATGTACAGGAAATGACATATGAAAGAGACCAGTTAATAAAGTCATTAGAAGAGATAAAAAGGTCAAAAACAATTCTAATACGAGAGATTGACCTTAAGAACCAAATGATAAAGACTCAGGTAGAGGAATTTGAAAGAATTCTGGCAGATATTAAGAAAATTCGGACGGGTATAAATATTGGAATAGAAATTAAACGGAAAAAAACAGCCACAGACTTTTTGGAGTATGAAGAATATACAATAGAGGGAGACATTTTAGCACACGAGCAGTTTGCCAAGGAAAAACTTGAATCACTGCAGAAAGAAATTGAGCAGATAGAAGCTGCAGCTGAAAAAGAAAAAGAGAAAAACATTCTATTGACAGAAACACACAGTGCACTGTCCGATGAAATCGAACAGAAAGAAGAGCGAGTAAAGGTGCACGCGCAGGTTTACATTGAAAAGAAAGAAGCAACAGAGGAAGAGTATAAAATGACTGTTGGAAGAGTGGACAAGGCAGAAACCGAATTATTGAAAATACAAGCAGAGGGAGATAATGGGCTCTTCCAAAGTGAGCAAGCATTAGAAAGAATAAAAATAAGGAAGGGCAGAATTCTCAGCAAAATTGCTGTGGAGGAAGCTGAAACACAGAAAATTACAGCAATAGTAGCAGCAAACATTCAAAGCTTAAAAGAAAGACTGGAGGAGGCCAAGACCACTCTTGAAGTATCCCCCCAGTAACAACCGTAAAATAAAAACAAACTAATCAGCCGGTATACTTATTTTTTATTAACTCTGCCTGCCCGGAAGTGGAGAATATCACCATTTGCCACAGGGTAGTCTCTTCCTTTCATTCGGCACAGCCCTTTAGATTTTAGCTCCTGCTCACTGCCGTATTCTATTAAATCATCATAACTCATTACATCCACAGCAACAAATCCTGTTCTAAAGTCGGTGTGGATGACTGCTCCTGCATCAGGGGCCAGAGTTCCATCTCTAATAGTCCAGCATCTTACTTCTTCGGGACCGCACGTGAAGAATGTAATCAGCTCAAGTGTTTTGTACCCAGAGGAGATAGCTTTGTCTAAATATTCGGTTGACTCATCTACTGAAATACCAGCACATACTAATATGCAGGGCGCATCTGGATCTGTTTCCATTAAGTGCTTTTTAAGCTTAACTGCGAGAGAAGTGGGCTTATTCTGTCTGTACTTGTCCACACTGATGTTGGCAAGATAAACTACGTTTTTAGCAGTTATTAGATTTAGCGGTCTAAGAGATTTTATTTCATCAGAGGTAAAGTCAATGAATCTGGCATCCTTTGCTGCCTCTAAACCAGCAACTAGCTTTTCTAGTGCTTCTATATAGATTTTAAAGTACTTATCTGATGGCTTTGATCTTAGCTCCTTCTTTGCGATTTCCAGCCTTTTCTTTGCGTCTGTTAAGTCCTTTTGACGAAGCTCCTCTCGAATAACCATGCAGTCACGCACTGGGTCAACTGAGTCATCAACGTGTGCAATAGAATCATCATTAAAACACCTTACCACATGGAATATTCCATCCACCTGTCGAATATTTTCTAAGAAACTGTTTCCCATCCCAAGCCCTTCAGAAGCCCCTTTCACCAGGCCAGCAATGTCAAACACCGTTAGGTATGCAGGAGTTGTTTTCTTTGGCTTATATATTTTGCAAAGGTCATCAAATCTTTTGTCTTTTATGCACACTTTCGCCTCTGATGGGTCAATGGTACAAAATGCATAGTTTGAAGCGGGCACTTGCAGCCCAGTCATGGAGTTGAAGAGTGAAGACTTCCCTACGTTTGGAAGACCAACAATCCCCATTGTGAGGTTGTGCGTGTTAGTTCTTCCAAATTTCACAACTGCCTTCTGTGCAGCGTCTTTTTTCTTTTGTGCGTTCATTTCGTGTAACTTATTAGTATAAAATTTTTAGTTTTTTATGCTTTTACCACAGGCTACTGAGCGGCTCTCAAAGGCACTGACAAAGTACACCAATATGATAAAACAGGAAAAGCTAATTATGACAGAAGCAGAAATATCCAGCAAATTGCACCAATGCCAAGAGTTGATAGGGCAGGTTGAGAATCAAATATCAACAGAACCGCTATCTCTTCTCAAAACAATAGAAGATATCTTAGAAGATATTCACAAAACATGCACCAACACAGAAAACGTAAAGGAAGAGAATATAATCCCAGATCCAACAACAATTCTTATAGAATCAGCCACAAAGAAGAAATTTGTTCTGTCGAAGAACATTCCTAGACCACAGATCAACTTTAAAAATCGGGATGTATATGCAATGAAGCCAGAAGGATTTTATCATTCTAATTCATTTATAAGAACCGCACAGAGCGCAAAAACACCGGCAGAAACTGTAGAGGTAGATAGTCAAACTGTAGAAGGGTGTGAAAACATAGAAGATGCAACCCGAAGCATTCTGATGAAGCTATACAGTTCCACAAAGATTATAGATGTGACAACAGAAATATCACCAAATATTTACTATATTAAGACGGCTGAGGAGTGTAAGATGGCAAATACACACATTCTGCAAGAAGCTGCTGTAGGCGTAGATATAAAAACCCATAAATTCAGAAGTTATAGTGGATTTACTTGTTACATACAGGTGGCGACTCTTGAGAGCATATATCTATTTGATATGATAGAGCTAAGAAATAATTCTGAGTTGCTTACATTTTGGAGCAACCCGTCTGTGGTTAAAGTGTTTTATAAAGCAACCGAGAAGGTATACTGGCTTAAAAAAGACTTGCAGTATACAGTAAAGGCGTATGTTGATTTATTAAGTATATATGGGTATCCAGAGGAAGTAACAAATTTAGGTAGAGCTGTAATGTATGCGACGGGAAGAAAGCTGAGAAAACAATTACAGCTTATGGACTGGAGGTACAAGCCAATTTCAGTAGAAATGTGCACGGATTTAACCGAACAAGTCGGGTATCTTCTGCTGTCTGTAGCAGGCATGGCAAAGAAGTGCACAGAGGAACAGTTTGTATCAGGGTATAACTATAAGGCAAAGAAAATCGAATCCGACCTTTCACCAGAAGAATTTCTTCTGTCGAAGAACATTGAACCCGCGGAGATTTCTGTTAAGTTGCACATGCTTAGAGACTTTATAGCAAAGCAAGAAGATGAAAGCCCGCAGTTCCTCATGACAGATAAACAGCTTGTTAGATTCATAAAAGAGCAGCCAACTACACAAGAGCAAGTGTTTTCTCTGTTTAAAAACATTAGCCCACTCTTTAAAGCCAATCTGAATAACTTTATAAACCTTCTACACTCCACACACAAAACATCCTCATTCAATATGACTGCATTAAAGGACAAATCATAAATAAATTCCTGTTAAATTGCCAATGCCACACAGATTTGCATAATTTCTATAATAAAATAGTATTAAAATCATAAAATAACCCTTGATTTAATGTTTGTAAAGAATAGATAATTTTATATTTCGGGTTATCTGCATGATTTATTAATATCAGAATAATTCATTCCTTATATATTTTAATAAGCTATGATTATATTACGAAGTATAAAAAAACATGAAACTACAAAATATTCCGGTATTAATAAATAACAAAAATATTAGAAATGCATTTCTTCATGTATACTATAGACTACGCAATACAATATGCAATGGCATTAAGAAACCAATTTATAATTATCGCACGGTATATGCAGTATAGTGCATAAAAAGACCGAGTGCGCACAAACTATAAGTAACATAACAAATAACCCGAAATCAATAAAAACCAGCTAATTAAACCATTATACAAAAAAATCAACCAATCAAGTATTTATACCCCGTGCACAATAATCACTTGAATATCAACCAATTAATTTCGCAATTCATATTGCGCATATTTCATTATATTTTTTTTATTTTGTTTATGCAAATAGAAAAGACTTCACAGATTCAAAAACTAAAAAATACATTTCCATGGGTGATCTACTACGGAATTGCAACCGTAAACTTTTCCATGTCAGTTTATTTAGATTTTTGTTCTGCTGTTCCATTTAGCATGATTACCAATCCCTCATTCATTTTTCTAATACTTACAACATTCGTGTTTTTTTCTGTGTATATTCAATCTCCCCCTTCTATTATAGCACATACTAGACCAATTAACAATATAATTGTGAGTAAATTGCTAAGTATTATAGCAATATGCGATGTAATAATTCTATCAATTATTTCACACTTATGCATAACAGGGAAGTATTACAGTATTCTATTCTTTGCAAGTTTATTAGTACAAATAGGAATATATTCTGAGTATTTGCTAAAATTAATTGTACCATACTTACCAAGACTTCCAGTGGAGAATTACATTCTGTCAATATCAATAGAAATGGAAATGGACGAGAGAGATTCAGTATTTTATGACTTTCACTTCTTATTCTATGTGTTTAATTTTTTATTCATATTCTGCAGCTCCTTACTTGTATTTCTTTCAGTCTGTCCAATGGATGCTCCTATTTCATCATTTATATTTAAGAATTTATACTGTTTATTCACTTATTACTGTTTATTATACATATTTATGTCCGCCTGTGTAATTGCATTTTATTTAAAAATTAATTCTGGTTCACAGAAGTGCTATCGGCTGGTATCCAAATTGATTCTAAAAAATATTGGTGTAATAATATTTATGGCAGGGATAAATTTAATTTCTGCAGTGGGAGAGGTGTTTTTTAACGTATTAAGTGGAATATCTATAATAAGGAGTATACTAGAAGACATTGGCAGCAAATATTTTATGAATATAATATTTTATAGAAAAGTAGGAATAGCACCAATTGTTGTTATTTCTACGATTTTAGAGAAAGAACCTGATGAGGTGGTTGAATTTATAAAGGAAGTAGAAGCAATGGGTGATTACCCATATATAAGCTCATTTAGTACTACACACAGCGGCAGAACAACAGCGAGGACATCTTTATCTATTATAACAATTGTTTTGTTTCCATTGCTTATGACTATTCTTATTACATCATTAAAAATACATGAGTTTTATGTCCACGCAAAATTGATTATTTCTCTCTGTTGGGCTGTGTACTGTACTGCGTGTATTTGGTATATTTATTCAGAGTCTTTATACTATGCAGCTCTTTTGTCAAATATTCAAGGGAGTCCACAGGGGAAGAAGTGGATTAATGCGTATCTTAATACACTGTAAATACAGACAAATCATTATAATAAGAATAATTTAAATACATTAGATAACCTATGCATACTAAATAGCAATTAAATAAATTATTAGGTTAATTATTACTGAACAACTGCAAGCTATGCATCTTTAGGGCGATTGGGGCAGATTCTATTGTTATCCGTTTTTATTTTCTAACCCGAGGATTTAAAATATTCTTTTATTATTTTTATATGAAAGGAAGACTCTCTTGGTTAGACATTAGAGCGGGAGTGAATGAATTAGAGAAAATCAATGGGTGCCATATAAAGACAGTATACAGCACGAGTAAAAAGGCGATTTTAATAAAGTTTAGCAACAAAGAACAATTATTAATAGACCCACCAAGCAAATTTCATTTGACGCATAAAAATTATGAAAAAGTGAATTTAACGCCATTAGCACTGTACTTGCGGAGAGAAATAAGTAACTATAGAGTAGAAAAAGTGACACAACTGGGGTTTGATAGAATTGCTGTAATAAAGATTAGGTCAGGAAAAGGATGCAGGCTGTTGATTATTGAAATGTATGCTAATGGTAATATAATTCTGACAGACGAAGAACTAAACATAATAAACCTTTTAAGGCCAGTAGAGCATCTGGGTGTAGTAAAAGAGGGGCAGTACTTAATAAACCAGCCAGAGCTAGTATTGGACATTGCTAGGTTTAACTATGTAAAGGGTGATACATTAAAAAAGAAAATATCCAACTTTTTATCCCTTTCTGGCCGTGTGGTAGATGATGTAATTGCTGAAATGACAGAAGTATTTGAGAAAGAGCTGGGAATGAATAGGCCACTACTTCTAAGTGATATAGAAAAAGAATTAGAAAACAATTCTCCTGAGTTTATTAAGGTATTTACTTCTTTCTTCAGCGAGATATTCAATAAGCTAACAAGTGTTGGAAACTATGGTGTGGTATACTATGATGGCGAGAAGCCAACTATGTTTTCAGCTTGGAAAGAAAAGCATCCGCAGCCAGGCCAGAAAATCAAGGAGTTTGATGGGTTTGGAAGTGCTATGGACGCAGCCTTTGCAGTACAAGAAATAACAGAAACTGTATCGCAGAAAAAGCACAGAAAGATACGGGAGGCCCAGGAGAGAGACCTACACAAAAAAATTGATGAGATGACAATTTTGAAGACTAAAGCAGAGCTGCTTTCAGAGAACCAGGCCGAAGTAAAGAATGTTATCTCTGTAATTGAAGCAGCGCATGCAGCAAGTCTTTCAGAGAAAGAATTTGAGCGGTTTAAAGAATCCGAAAAGGATAAGAACCCAACGGCAAAAATCATTAAAAAGGCCAACTTTGGGAAGAAAACGGTTGATTTAATTATAGATAAACAATTGGTTACAATTGATTATACTGCCTCTATATTTGAGCAGATAAATGCGCTCTACCAAAAAGCTAAGAAAATAGAAGAAAAGCTGAAAAAGACCAGAGTTGCTCTTGAAGAGAGTAGGACTAAAGAAATAGAGGTAACCAAGAGAATAGAGAAAATTGAAAAAATTGACAGGAATGTATTTTGGTTTGAGAAATTTAGATGGCTTATTACAAAAGACTCAGACTTAATTCTGGCAGGAAGAGACTCAAAGCAGAATGAAATTTTAGTTAAAAAGCATCTTCTAGATACAGATTATTACTTTCATGCTGATGTAAGGGGTGGGTCAAGTGTAATCGTTGGGGAGAATGCAACTGTGCACACTAAAGAAGTAGCAGCTGCAATGGCTCTGCATCTATCAAAGGCCTGGGAAAACAGTACTATAACAGAAGTTTACTGTGTTCGGGGGGAGCAAGTCAGTAAAACAGCTCCAGCTGGTGAGTACTTAACACACGGGAGCTTCATGATCACAGGTAAAAAGGAATTTTATCACCCAACAAAGCTAGAGTATGGGTTTAGCATTATGTATAAGCTAAAAGACAAAGAAATAGAAATATCTGATGACAACAGACAAGTATCTGGGTTCACTGCTAACCCAGCATCAGAGGAAGAAATTGAATTTGCAATTCCTGTTATGGGCCCATACAAATACTTAGAGGGAAAGAAGTGCAGGCTTTTACCCGGATCTGCTAAGAAGGGAATGATTATAAAAGAGCTGCTTGCTATTGCAGAGCAGGAACGGCCTGCTTCATTCAAGAAGTACATTAGAAATATCACAGATAAGGAAATGGAGCTAACCGTAATAGGAAATTCAAAGCTGTCCCATGCAGAAATTCTAAAAAGAGGAGAAAAATCGCTATTTGCGCGAAAGACAAAAACAAAGAAGAACAAAAACAAAAAAACACCTGATTCAGACTAATTTTTAGTAATAAACTGTTTACTGTGTACTCAAATAAATAAATATCTGGTTATTTTAAAAACAAATCTTGTTTTTATGCATTTCCATTTTTCAGCTGTTTTCTATCCTAAAAATAGTACATAGTTGAAAATTATTCTCTAATGAATGGAATAAAGGTTTCTCCCACATATGGAACTAAAACTTCTGGCACCATTATTCCTCCTTCTGTTTGATAGTTCTCCACAAGACAACAAAGAGTTCTTTGCACCGCGCAGAGTGTTCCATTCAGCATGTGCACAAACTGCTTTTCCTCATTGCTTTCAGTTGGCCTGTACCGCACATTTAAGTCTCTGCTCTGGTAATCTGTGCAGTTAGAGCATGAAACTAACTCTCTATACCTGTCTGAGGCGGGGAAGAGTGCTTCTAAATCGTATTTAATTGCTGCTGCATTGTTAAGTGCGCCAGAAACAATCGACACTACTCTGTAAGACAGCCCAAGTGAGTCATAGAATGCCTTGGATCTATCAACCATCTTCTTAAACTCTGCCTCACTCTCTTCTGGGGCAGTAATTAAAAACTGCTCAATCTTCTCAAACTGATGCACTCTGAATATACCTCTGTTATCCTTTCCATGGGCACCTGCCTCTTTTCTAAAACAAGTGGAATATCCACCGTATCTAATAGGTAGTTCTGTTTCTTTTATCCACTCACCTTCGTGCAGCGCAGAGAGTGGTTGCTCAGAGGTTGCAATCAAGTACAAATCATTCCCGCCTTCTACTTTATATAGCTGCTCATCAAAATCGCTTAACTGTGCAGTTCTTTTCATTGACTCCTTCCTCATCATAAAAGGTGTTTGTATCAGCGTATAATCACTCTTACGTAAAAAATCCAGTGCATACCGTATAAGACTCTGTGTAAGAATAACACCCGCACCTTTTAAGAAATACCCTCTGTGCCCAGATATTCTAGTCCCTCTTTCTGTATCCACTACACCCAATCTGTCCAGTACCAAATCATATGATAATAACTGCTTAGGCCAAAATTCTTTAGTTCTCTTTTCTGTCTGTACAATTATTGGATTGTTATCTTCATTATCATCTATACACACAGATTTATCCAGAATATTTCCTATTTCTCTTGCTATATTATCCGTCTCTTCTTCTTTTGTGTTTAACTCTACTACACACTTACTCTTCTTTTCTTTTATTTCTGCTATTCTGTCTAATAATTCTTGTTTCTTTCCATTGTCCTCTGGTGAGCCTTTATCCTTTGTTACTTTAAAATACTTCATCCCTTCTTTTGTAAGACTATTCATTTCTTTATTTAGTTGTTCCATTACATATCTTATTTTTATTCTTTCTTCTATCATATCCACTACTTTTTCTGCTGTTTTTGTGCCACGGAATCTGTTAGATTCACTTTCCATGACAAGCTGCCGGGTGTCTTTATTTCTAAGAATAGACAAGTCAATCATAAAAAAATAAAATGTAAATAATATTTATAAAGACAATCTGAGTTTTATTAGCAAATACAGCAGAATCTTCATTCAATTATAGCAGCAAGAAGTAAATATAGTATAAAAGAAGTAGACTAAAAATATAAATAAGATTAAAAATTTTAATACAATAAGATAAGAACAGAAGATGAGGAGAGCAGGAGGGGAGAAGAAGAGAGGGTGATGAAGATGTGCAGAGGGGAACAGAAATGTACAAAAAGTATTTATATGATGCAGTATGATGTATATTGATAGGTGCAGTGATATATAGACAGATAATCTAATGATATATCATATGGTATGTGATAGAATTTCGGGTTATTTAGCCAGTGTTATATGACTAAATACATAAATATATAAAACAGTGATAATTGTAAATACATATGCTATTATATTTTAGTATAACTATAGAATAATACATTTTGAAAAAATAATATATAAGAAGTATCCTTTATTTTAGACTGTACTTTCTGCTTTTTGTTCTGCATAGGAACACCCTGCTGAAACAAGTGCTTTCTGAATAATCTCTAGTGGAAGATGCCTTCTTGTGAACTTTGGTTCGGGATCTCTGAAGTTGCACAGATACTCAATTCTGAATGTAATCACTGTGGTGTCACTCTTTGTTTCGTAATCCTGTATGCTAATTCTCTTTTTACTGTCCTGTTCTTTGCTCTTTAGTATGTTTACTATCTTTTCCTTGATCTCATTCAATTTATCAATTGTTACTTCATCTTTGATTATAAAGACGACTAGCTCTGTCTGTATGTCACTTCTTCGAACGTTAAAAATTGACTCTTTTATTAGTTCTTTGTTTGGGATGTAGCATACTGTTCCTCCTTTTGATGTGAATGTGCTGTACATTAGGTCTATCCTTAAAACAGTGAACTCTTTGCTATGAACTAGTATTTTATCGCCCACATCAAATGCGTGCTCATGCAATAAGAATATGAAATTATTAAACACATCCTTAATAATGTCAGAAAAGAGCCAGCCAGAGCTCATAAGTAATGGAACAAATCCAGCAAGTGCATTAATAGGATTAAATCCAATGAATGGCGTGCTGATCATAAGAGTAAGAATAATTGCCACTATTTGTAAGATTGTGTCTAATATTCCCAGAATCTTATCTCTGTCGTATAATGTTCGTTTGAGATCTATTCTTTCCCCATATACAGAGATAGCAAGGTTTAAAAGATCCTTTCCTCTAATAACAGAATTCCCATCAACTTCTTTTACATATTCATGGGATTCTAGATACCTCCAAATCTCCATCCACTGATTGCCAAATGCATCTCGTATGCTATCAATTGTTATTTGCATCTTTAAGTGCGCATCTGGTTTGTTTGGATCGTTATTTTCTGTGTTACTGTCATCTGCTGCTATGCTGTTCAGTATTTCATATACAATGTCCTCACACTGGGACTTAGACTTAATTTTAAAGTCAACAAAGTGCACTAGGAATGTGTTGGTTATTTCTATGCCCTCCATTGAATCGGCGTTCATATTCCCCATTCCTCTTTGGTTGATACTTTGTGCATAAATAGACAGCCTCCTTAGAATAGAGGTTTTGAAATTTACATCTCCAATTCTTCCAGAAAACACATTATTCCCACAGTATGCAATTGCCAACTTTAAGAAGAACTTCTCCACTATAAAGAAAAAGAACAAAATACCCGCACACATTGAATATCCTCCAAGTCTACCGTATCCTTTAACCTCCATTCTTGTCAAAGAATAGTCTTCCATGAACAGATTACAGTGGATTATTCCGAAAATACTCACTATCAGAACAGTTATCAGATATTTTATATCATCAACAATAAACAGAATGATTTTACCATCATTGCTTATCTTATGATTAAACATATCACAAACCATTGCAACGATAAACACCAGTCTGTTCATTATTAGATATATTACAAGATAGCTAAGAAATACAGCACAGAAGAATACCCCTAGCTTAAAGTTTATCTGAGAAGAAGTCACCCCTTTGTATTGGGTGATTGGCATTAGTAGCTTTGGCATACCAGGCTTTTCTAATAAAATAACCAGCGTTGGAGACAGCATAATAAGCAAACAACCAACTACTGCATATGCAAATACTGCTGTATAGAACCATAGACCAGTTAAATTTCTTTCTATGTACCCAAGAGTATCAAAGAAAGAAAACTTGTCCTCCTCTTCTAGATCATCCATGGGCTGTCTTTTCTTATGCTTTTCTCTTTGTTTTTTAATTTTGTTTTCTTCTTTTACAGCCTCAATTATTTTATCTCCGTGTGTTATTTCTTGGTTAGACTCATCGTCACTTTTCTCTGAATCATCACTTGCTTTTGTGTCTCGCGTTTGTATTGGGTTAGTCACTAATTTCTTAATCTTCTGTGATACATCTCCCGTGGAACTTGGCGAGTTGTTTCCATTTTCTCTCTCATTCGACTCCATTAAGGGGATGGTATGATATTATTCTTATATTTTCATGTGAAAAATATGCATCTTTTGGTTGGTTGTACTTCTTTTTCCTATTGGTTTATTTTTTGCCTGGCAACCAACCGAATATTCAGATTTGAATCATGGTGAGGTGTGCACATTTAAGGCTTCAGCACATCTATTGGGCGTTTTGCAGGTCAAATCTATTTTATTGCGAGTGACTGCTATATAGTATGATAGATAGTTATAAAGTGTATTACAATATGAAGTTTTGTCTGTTAGCATTTGTATCATAGAAAAAGCTTACAAATATAACGGAGACATAAAATTTTTACAAGTAGTTTTATGCAGGAAGAGAAGAAAACATTTTCAAGCTATTCACTTGACAGCTCGCTTGTTGAAGAACTTACTAAAAGAGGAATTATTCACCCCACTGAAATACAAAAGCTTACGCTTAGCAACCTTGAAAATCGGCAAAGTCTTTTGGCTATATCTAATACAGGAACTGGTAAGACTCTGGCTTATTCATTGCCCATACTGCACTCACTGCTCAATGATGACAGGTACTTTTATGCAATGATAATTCTTCCTACAAGAGAACTGTCTCAGCAGGTGCATGCTGTTTTATCTGATATTGGTGCTGAAATAGGCCTACGGACTACCTTGCTTATAGGTGCAGTAGATCTACTTGTTCAAGGGAAAAGTCTGGCTGCACGGCCTCATATTATTATTGGCACACCCGGAAGAATTTACCACCACTTACGTAACACCAAAGGAATAACTCTGTCTTCTTTCAAATACTTAGTATTGGATGAGTGTGACAGGCTCTTAGACAATGACTTTGATGGCGATATAAATGGAATATTAGAGCTAATCTCTCCGAAATATATATTTTTATTTAGCGCCACACTTACAAAGCGTGTAAATGCATTTAAAAACAAAAGAATGAACAATCCATTATTATACAACGTACAAAAGGATGAGGGAATCCCTGAGAACATATCCCAGCAATATGTATACCTCCCACAGAAATACAAAGAAGTCTATTTATACAGCATTATTCGGTCTCTAGGCTCTAGAAAGTGCATTGTATTTGTTAAAACATGCATTACAGCAGAAAAAATAGAGCGAATGCTTCGGTCCTTAGATGAATCTGTGTGCAGCATACATGGAAACAAATCTCAAGAAGTTCGAACAGAAACTATTGAAATGTTCAGAAGAGGAAGATATTCTGTACTTATATCAACAGATGTAGTAGCAAGAGGCATGGATATGGAAGGCATAAAAATAATTATAAACTACGACATGCCAGATGGCCACAAAGAGTATATACACCGTATAGGCCGAACAGGCCGTGCAGGTGAAACAGGCAGTTCGATCACTCTTGTAACACAGTATGATGTAGAAGAGTTCCGTAAGCTAGAAGTTAAGCTGGATCTAAAAATGGACGAGTATTCCATATCAAGCGATTTAATATATAGTTTATCAGACAGTGTAGATCATGCCAAGAAAGAAGCAGCAGTGGATATGAAAGAAGAAGGAATTGGTAAGAAAATTAAAGAAGTAAAAAAAGGCAGGCAAGGTTTAAGAACATCTAATAAAAAAGAGAATAGAAAGAATAGAAAATAAGCATACCCCGATATAACCCTAAATAATAAATCTGTCAGATATGTTTATGTTAATATTCTGCTTAATAACCAAAATTCTTTAAATATAATTATTGTAATATAAGCATGGTTTATTAGAATAAAATATTATTTATGCCTTACAATTATTATAATTTCTATAATAACAGTTGTTTCTATATTAAGTAATTATACTTTATTAATATACCAAGATAATATATCATAATGAATTCCATATTTACACCCGTTATAATTATTATTCCTTATAGATATAACCCCATCTAAAGCATTTTTAATATCTTCATAATTATCCAGGTGAATGAAATTTAAAACATCATTTGGAATAAAACTGTAATGCATAATTAACTGATTAAGTATACTTTGATTAAGAATACCTTCACTATCCTTATTTTCTATACCTTTACTGCCCCTATTTGTTATTTCTTCAGAATATGCCGTATCTAATAAATACGTATTCAGTGTTCCTAAAAGGTCTTTCATAATATGGCATAGCATGGGACAAGACATATACTCTTTACTATTTATACTTTTATATATACAGTACCCATGCATTGCCATGTTCATAGAAGGATTCTTACGGTTTAACATGTCAATAAATGAGGCATGAACAGATTGATTATTACGTATAAATGCTCTTGTATCCTTTATATCTGTATTAAATTTATATGTTGTATATTCATATACACTGTCATATATCCTTGTATGCCATTTTATTATTAAATTGTTATTAGACCTAATCAATTCCTGTTTAATATTCATACAGTAACAGTGATGATCTTCGTACCAATCGTTTGAATTTCTTATAAAGAAGTCACTGTAATAATATTTAATAAAGCAGTTTAATTTTCTTTCATTAATACTGATATTTTGTAATAATTCACTATATGAAATATTCTCAGGCCTTTCTTCAGGCAATAATGTCTTATCCATTATTTCTGTATAATTATGCATATACACAATTGGATACATATCTGTATATGATTCTATCTTAGGTACTTCATTATTAATATAATTAATATCATATGGTCCTAGAATAATAGCACTAAACATAAACACAGAAAGCAGTAAGGGAATCCTTGGTTTGTTAATATTATTATCATTAATTTCATTTTTAATGCTTAATGGATATGTAAACTCAGCTAAATAGAATTTGGTTTCATGTATGTTCTCTTTAACATAATAAAATATTATATTATACCCAGTACGTTCCATTTGTTCTACTGTTTTGCTTAAATCGTCTGTATCACTTATTAACGACCATGCTTTATTATTTGTATTATACTTAAATGCGTATAAATATCCTTGATTTTTCTTATACATATCCGCCCCTATATCATATACATATTTTAGGTATGTGATTATATTCTTAATCTTATGAATCTGATATAGTATAAATTTATTACTCTTTGTTTTATGTAAGTAATAGGGAAGGTGTATGATTTCAAGAGTGTGTCTTACATTATCTACAAACTGCACATGATAATGCTCTTTAATGGATATTTCAATAGATGCCATATTAATATGTATGTTACCATTAATTATTATTATTTTACACTTATTACGAGCACTTTCTGATTCAATAGTTTCATTTATTATAGCATAATGCTTAATATACTTCTGTGACGTAACTGTATGTCCACCCATGATTTTATTATATCTACTATTTGGGTCTGCGTATATGTACTTATTGAACTTTTTTGATCTAAGCAGACTCTTTTCCTCGTGGGATAGCATATACACATACGGGAATTTCTCATAGAACAATTTAACCGCATTGCAAACAATTGTATACACTTCAATACAATCGAAATCATATATGCTGATTTTACTATTATTATTATACTTCTCTATTTTTTTAATTATATTATACGATTCTTCTATTATATCTGAATTCTCCTGTACAACACCTATAAGATACATTATTATATAATTAAAAATAAATATATTTTCCATAGTAATACTATTAGACTTATTATCTAACTCTTCTTCAAGGTTTTTAAAGATTTTACTAATTAGCCTCAGTGGTATTTTACAAAAGTCTTCATATACTTCTGGTATATAGAGAATAATATTCATGTTCTTTTTAAGCTTTATGTCCTTTTCTGTATCACTCTCAGATACTTCTATGACTATTTGTTTAGATATACCACAGTAACAGCAGTATACATTTACTTCTTTATTAATCCATATATCTCCAAGAGTTTCTTTTTTTTGTTTAATATTACTTATTTCATTATGCGTACTCCTTATAGTATTAATGTATACTGATGGTCCATGTACTTGTATATATTTAAATAAATCAGTAAAAAAACCATTATAATATACAGGATTTCTTAATTCATCACTATCTAAATTAACCATATACATAATTAGTCTATTTTTCGAATAAATGTCTAATTTTATGTTTTTAATTAGTGTCCATACATCTACAGTTGAGTTGTTCTTCCATTCTTTAATTATATTATGCCCTTTTTTAATAATTAAATTATAATTATTTAATGAAATAAGATTATGTACTAGTACTAATTTCTTTATATTGTATACTTGTCTAGTATAATTTCTATTTATATACCTATTCATACTCATATAATAAATAAATGTCTTATTATATCTTGTATTACTAGGTATAGTTATATCTACATTCTTACTTGACTTATTTGAATCTGAAAATGTATCTATTACTACTTCATCAGTATTACTATAACTATCTGTATCACTTGTATTAATACATATATTTCCATTATTATTTCCAGTATTAATCATAAATTCATCTACACTATTATTTGTATTATTACTCATGTTATTGCTTATGTTACTACTTATACACTCATTTATACTATCACTTAATGACTGTTTAGAGGTACTTGGTGATATTAAATATCCTGTATTTGAATTGCTTTGATTTTCTGTTATATTGCTGTGTAAGTGTGCACCTGCTGGAATAATTGGTTTTGTAGATTTCGGGTTATTTCTAAATTTAAATCTTGTGAAATAAGGATGACTCTTCTCTTTTCGATTATTTCTTTTATATTTTTCTGTTGAATTTATTACTATATCTATGTGTATAATACATATTATGCCAAATATAAAGATATTCTTCAAGTATACCATAAATAATTTAAATTTTAGCGTATAAAATAATTTATATTTATAATTCGGGTTATTTCAAAGATAGAAAGTATAAGAATACCATCTGATGGTAAAACTGATTCATGAACTTTATTTATTTTATTCATACGTGTAGGAACCCAAATTTTCTTAAAATATAGAAATCTTAAATTAAGTATAACAGTAAAATTAATATAAATCATTATATTTAGAGGATATTCTTTATAGTAATTGTGGTGACACCACCACTCGGATGGGAGCCCCGAGGGCGATCCGTCTGCGCGCCAGCTCGCGCGGTGATCCCGCCAAAGCAAAGGCCGGGATCTCTGAATCAGTATATCAACTTCCGACTATTTAACCGGAGCTCTTCCCCCAATTTAGGGGGAGACTCAGGGAAGCATCGACGGCTTAACTTCAGCGCCAGACCTAACACAACTGCGCCCGAGACTCCGTGTCCGCGCAGGCTTGGGTCGCTTCCTAAAGACAATAAAGAGCTCTCCCCTTTCACCCTCTTCTCTCTCTTGGCTACGTAGCAGGGCGGCGGTGGCGTTACTCCTCGTGGGTACGTCAGTAATAATTATTTACTATTTCAGTATACGAAAATAAATCATTCTTTGTGTATAAAAGCATAGATAGTCAAATCTAATTATTGTGTATATACGGTTAATCTAATTAATTGTTATAATTAATGTTGTTTGGTTGTTAATTGTTCTGTCTGGCTTAGTATTTCTTAAATCTTCGATTTTTCCTAGTCTCTTTTCAATTGTTGCTGCTCTTATTAATATTTAAGTAAAATTGTTTAACCCTATACAAATATATATATGAAAATAAATATACCTCAATAATTAGTGTTATAAATATAATAGTTTTCCAATTCAATATATTAGAAGACTTCTCTTTAATTGTTGTTATATTGTTGTCTTCTGTTAAACCAGTAATTACTTAATTTATTATAATTCTTTAATATTGCAGTAATTATGAAAGTGTTATAATAAACAGTAAATATAATTGATTTTATACTGTGTATTGTTGGTTTGGGATGGTGAGATCCAGAATGTTAAACAAAATGATAATGTTTGGAGTGTCAAAATATGTGAGTGACAGCTTTTGTGATTAGAAGTCGTCTATATAAGGATGACGTGGATTAAAGTTTTCGTATGTCTAAGCCTTCAAGGAAAAAACGGCTTGTATATACACTAATATATATCAATATAGTAATAATCATTTGTATATTAAGTGTATATACGTAAGTATATAAATTCTAGCTATTTATAATAAAAATGAATTTTAAATATTCTTATAAAACTATAAAATTTAAATATCTTCAGTGAATGGGTTTATAAAAAAATAAAGAAATACAGAAATAGAAATTACTGTAAAAATAATACAGACGGATTATACTAATAATATATTAGAAACACGG